TGAAGATAAAGCCACAGACTCAACATTACTAGTCATCAAACGTAAAGCCAGGTGGGCATAAACAACTCAGGGCTGGTTTTTATTATGTTTCTGGTCTCCCAAATAGAGTTAAATAATAAATATGCCACTTATTGAATTGTGGAGAGTATTCTTCCAGACAGATCACTTAAGTAGAATTTGCAATTTATTTTTCTGCTACTTCTTTAAATAAAACTAACTCTCACTCACTCACTCACTCACTCACTCACTCACTCACTCACTCACTCACTCACTCACTCACTCACTCACTCACTCACTCACTCACTCACTCACTCACTCACTCACTCACTCACTCATGTCTAATAAACCTTCTGTAAACTGGTTCTTGCAATCTGGTTGTGTTCATGTAAAACCAATAGAGGCACATGCTTCAGGTGGGATCTTTAAAATGAAAATTAGCTTCATTATTATTATAATGTGTGCCATTGATTCTGTAGATGCAGATTAAATGCATACCATCACATTCACTTAACTTCTAATTAAAAGACACATCCTGGAGCCAACGTTCAAGCTAAATCGAGCTTAAACATCCAAGTAAACAAGACCTACACTCTGTTCTGCATCTAAGCATCAATAAGATAAAATGGGAAATGTTTCGAAATGTTTCTACAGAAACAGCATTTATAGTAGCTTAGAAAGCCATCCTATATGTAATTATATAGTCTGGCCATGAGCCATTGAAACAACACAGTCATAGGGCAGAATCTACAGTTTTCTTTCAAGCTGTCTCTGCACACAATTGGACAGCTCTGGGACCAATGAGAGCAACAAAGAACATGACATACTTCACTATGGATGTCCGTGAAACGGCACAGTCCACCATACACCAAAGCAAATGCATCTTTTTTTAAATAATAATAATATGACTTAAGTACCTCCATCTGCTCATGTCTTAAGAAAAGCTCAGGTCTAAATTGTCCTAATTTGAAACCAAAGTTGTTTCATGACATGTGCTGTTCCTGAGCCAGATGCCATCTTTGTAGTTTTCTTCCATCACATCTCTGGTGCTAAGCCTGCCTAACAAATGTAGAGCCCTGCTATGGGCCAGACAGAAAACTGCTCAGGCCAAATGAAAGCTAAATGCTCAAACATGAGTTTGTTCAGTTGTCTAATATTTACAGAGGACGGAGGTGTTCCTTATAACAACTCTTTCATTTTCATCCACTTTTCTGCAATTCTGAACACAACAAAGATTTTTTTAAATTTGGTCACTTTTCAAGCAACGATGCCCATTTTTTAATTTTAACAAATAATACAAGGTAATACATTATTTTTAATTATACAATTTTTGTTTAAAGAGGCAGCAAATTAATATTTTGTGGGAACTTAATCATTTTTTAGTTTTAAATGTAGTAAGTGCAGCATTGTCTGCAAGAAGATTATTCAACAACTGCCCACTTGTCTAATCATATTCTAACATTAGTCAAAATATTTATCTGTTCACTGTAATTTCAGACTAATGTTACTAGGATTAGCATCAACCCTAAGACATGTCACAGAATCCAAAAGCTTTAGGAGGAAAACTGAAAAGTTAATTCATTAGAAAATGTAATAATTACTAATGTCTATGTGCCTACTTGGCTCGCTGCTGGAAGGCTGACATCAGCAAGAACTCAGGAGATTCATTTATCATCACAACAAATCTTGACTGAAGGAGGGAGGTTAAAGTAACAGCAGAGCTAGGACTGTGTCCCCTTAAACGGGGTCTAAATTCATATCCAGTGTTTTCATCTATTTAAATATGAGAAATAAATATTTAAATCAGGAGTGACTTTTGGTTTTTATCACTTTTGGGGTGATTTGGGGGTCACACTCTCCATTCCTCTCTGCAGTTCAAACTATAATTGTGATCAAATATTTGATAGCATAAAAATATGCTAGATTCAAATATAGTTTTTCACTTTTTAAACTGAAAATATGTCATATTAATGTGTAGTTTTGTTCTTGCCTCACAGACAGGTTTAGGCTCATTTTAAGTCCTAAACCTTTATATTTACACACTCAAAATGTAAAAACCTCATTTTCAATCACCTCAAACATGGAATGAAATTTGCAGAACTATTTTAAAGTTTTCCTTTCATTTAAGAACATCGGGGTGAATGAAGATTGCATCTTAACTCGCTCATGTGAAATCTAATACAGTTTTAATTAACACAAATTCTTTATGCTAACAGTAATTTGTGAGTTTGTGAGTTGAAATGAATTCACTTCTTTTGCACCAGTGGAAATTGACTGAACAGATACTGGTTGAGAAATGCATGTTGAATATTTATTTAAGCATTGAAAAAATTGAGCTGACGAGCAAGATGGTCTCAAATAACCTTGTCTTTGGTGTAGTTTTTACAGTGGCTGTTATACCAAAACGCGCTGAGGCACTTCTCACTACCAGTGTCTAGGGATCAGGCAGAAACTCATCCGCAGAAGACATTAAACTATGATGCCAATGTGTGAAGGAGACAAGTGTGTAATGCAGAATCCAGTGTGGAGAAAGAGTTAACTGCATAAAGGGGAAATATAAACAGATTACTGCTTTGCTAGTTGCCGCAAGTAACATAATGAACTCCTAATCGCTGCTGAGGGTGTAATTCATCTATGAAATCAGCTGCAAATTGAGATGAGGAAAATCAGTTTCTGATCTATCTCATGCGAGAGCTTAGCAGGAAGGATATTGAGCGGTGTGTCTCTCAAAAGGTTAGAAGTAACACTTTCCTGTCAGCACTGATGTTCTGTCAGTGGAAAACTTCCCCTCGGCCCCGTCATGCTACACACGGGCCTGCCAAGCAGCACGCGAGTCAAATGAATGCATCTGTATTCTGCTCGGTGCAGGCCTGATAAGCAGTAACTAACACAGAAGGTCAGAATGTCGTTCTCTCAATCAACTCCAGCAGCACAAAATGTCAAATGCTTCGTTGGGTGCAGTTGTCAAAAGATGGAGTGTGTTTACCCCCCACCTTTTCCTCCACCCATTCTGTCTCTTCCTGGTCCCCATCACCCTTTCCCTCCATCTCCACTGGCTTGTCTGCCTCTCCAAGAAAAAAGTTATAAAGGCACATATAAAGTCCTCCTGGGTATGGGTGCGAAGCTAATGGCACCTCGGGCATTTCAGGATTTTTGCTGCTTGACAACTCCTCCTCCACCTTTACATCCCTATTTCTCACTGTCACAAACCCCATGGCAGGTTGCTACGCAGGTCAGACCCATCTAGACTCATCATTCAGGTAGCCACTTGATATGTGTGTGTGTGTGTGTGTGTGTTCCATTCTTGTATTGTGTGTGCTCATGTGTTTGGACAAGATAAAACTGGAGCAGTAGACCTGAAAAGAAAATTTGTGAAAGGAAGGAGAGAGGCAGACAAAGAAAGGGGTGGTGACAAAGTGAGAAAGCACAAGAGAACAAAATGACTCACCTTCTCCGCCGACTGGGCTGTGCCAAAGAAAATCGGGATGAAGGCCAGCCACACTATACAGGTGGTGTACATGGTGAAGCCAATGGGTTTGGCTTCATTGAAGTCTTCTGGTACGTCCCTTGTCTTGATAGCGTAGATGGTGCAGGTCACCATCAGCAGGATGCTATAGCCCAGCGAGCAGATTATTTGGAGGTCTGTGATGTCACACTTCAGCACACCGCGGGCCAACTTAGGGTTTATGGTCTTTTGCTCATCATAGTCAATGATTGTGTTTGGTGGGTCAACTGCAAACCACACCAGCACTCCCAGCAGCTGCACAGAGATTAGACTGGACGTAATTGCAATCTGGGAAGTGGGGCTAATGAAACGAGGTGCTGTGACTGTCTGCTTCCCCTGCTCAAAAATCCGATAGATCCGGTTGGTCTTGGTGAGCAGAGCGGCATAGCTGATGCACATGCCTAGGCCCAGGAAGATCCTCCTGAATGCACACACAGCTACATCGGGCTTGGCAATCATGAGAAAGGTGATGATGTAGCAGAGGAAGATACCAGTCAGCAGCACGTAGCTCAGCTCTCTTCCGGATGCACGCACTATTGGTGTGTCATTGTAGCGAACAAAGGTTGCCATCACAAAGATGGTGGCAATGATGCCAAGCATGGCCAGGAAGACGGGGATTACCGCCCAAGGAGAGTGCCACTCCAGCTTGATGATGGGGATGGGCTGGCAGGCTGTTCTGTTGGAATTGGGCCTACTGTTGTAGGGGCATAATCTGCAGGAAGTCTCGTCGTACTGGTACTGATATCCATCACACAGCTCGCAGTGCCAGCAGCATGGCATGCCCTTTACTTTCTTCTTCCTCTCTCCAGTTTTGCAGGGTAGACTGCACACAGAGATGGGCACCTCCTGCTCCCCATCTGGCCACTGAAGATCCTCCAGCTGAGAAAGGTAACACACAGCACAGGAAGTGACGTTAATGACTGTGACAAAAGCAAAAGGTAAGATGAGGACCGTGGAAGAAGTTCAGGGGCAACGTAGCATCAGTATGCCACACAGATACAATGCATTAACGTCCCACAGCTGAAAGGAATGATTAACCTACTCTAGTACTACATCATTCTTGCCAATTTCTTAGAGGGATTGCTTTTTTCCAATACTTGAAAATAATTGAAATCACTATGGCAACAGAGACTACCTTTGTTCAGTGAAATAAAAATAAATTTGAAATGCAAAAGGCATTAGGTTTTAATACAGGAGCCAGTGAGGTATGAAATACGTGATGAGAAGGAAGGAGAATGGGATTTGGGTTAGCAGAATGCAACCGTTCAACTCTGCAGGCCCATTTTGATTCATGATCTTGTCATGTAAAAGAAGAGTGCCATGTGCAGAGGCACAGGGGGACGGTCTGAAGGTAAAAAAAAAAAGCCTTGCAGTATTTTATGATTTCAACTCAAGCTATAGTTTGAACATAAAAATCTGAGAAAAATCAAAATGAGGATTATTTCCTCCCTTTTTGGGCTTCAAAATCACAGCAGGTGATTTTATTTATTTTGAAAGTGCACTGAATTTTGGATTAAAAGCACCAGAAGATCAAAGATTCGTCAACATGGTTTCAGAAAAAATACCAAAGATCAACAACAGTAACATGAAGAAAAAAAAATTAATAAAAAAATTACTTGATCTCCAATGCTCCTAATATCTGGAATTAACATTCATGTTTGGACATGCAACAAATCAAAACCAGTTGTTGAAAGATGATCTGGACATGTAAGATTGACTCTCTGAGGTGGTCTGGACTACATTTGGTTGCATATTTGAACATTGTAAGGACAAATGTGTCCTGGACCACTAAAAGAACTACTCAGATGACGTACTTCGCATTAGCAGCAGGGAGTCCTCAGTGTATATATTTAGATGTAATGTTTTGAGTCTAATGCATTTTTCTTTCACAGGAAAACCTGCCGGCTGCAGACTTTTAGCTCAATGTTTTATTCCTTTTAGTGAATGTGAAGATTAAAAATATGTTCTTGGTTCAGTAGTTAGAATTCTGTAAAGATGTTCCAGTTTTTCTGGTGTTCATTTCTATCGCTCACCGCTAAAAATGGGTGATAATGTTTTTTTCAGTTCCTCTGTGTGTGTGTGTGTGTGTGTGTGTGTGTGTGTGTGTTTGTGTGTGTGTGTGTGTGTGTGTGTCTGTGTGTGTGTGTGTGCATGCGTACATGTGTGTGTGTGTGTGTGTGTGTGTGTGTATGTGTGCGTGCATGCGTGTGAGTGTGTATGCCTGTGTGTGTGAGTGTCTGTGCGTGCATGTGTTCCTGTATATGCGTGCGCGTGTGTGTGTTAGTGCATGCGCATGTGTGTGTGTGTGTGTGTGTGTGTGTGTGTGTGTGTGTGTGTGTGTGTGTGTGTGTGTGTGTGTGCGAGTGTGTCTTTGCAACATCGTGGGGACAGCAGCCAGACAGCATCCTTGCAGTGTGAGGACTGGATTTACTGCGGGGACCAAAACAATTGTCCCCACACAGTTTGCATTAGATTAAGTGGAAAGAGGTTCAGTGAGATAACTTGTCAAATTGTCATGGTGGTCCTCAAAAGTGCTGTATAACCTCCCAGAAAGGGTGGTTCCCAAAAAGCATGACCAAATCTTGCGTCCCTACAAATGCTTATAAACAAAGCTGTGTGTGTGTGTGCATATACTTGTCTTTATATGTTTAAGTGGACACATTTTGATTTGTGGGGACATTTTGCTGGTTCACATAATGCTAAACACCCTAATACTTGGTTTTAGAGGGATGGTATGCTTTACGTTTAGTTTAGGTTAGTTTAGGCTAGGGTTAGGAATAGAACCTCATTGGTTAGGGTTAAGGTATGAGTTAGGCATAATGGAGTCACCAAATTGAATGAAAGTCAATGGAAGTCCACGCACACACACACACACACACACACACACACACACACACACACACACACACACACACACACACACACACACACACACACACACACACACACACACACACACACACACACACACACACGGGTGTGTGTGCATGCCTGTTTTCTTGCCTGCCATGTTGGCTAATAGTTCAAAAACTACCTAACAGAAAATATTTTACAGATGTTCAGCTAAAATAGGGCGTGCTAGTAGCTAAGTCATTCCCAACACATTCTGAAGCATTGAACCTTGTGCAGGAACTTTGAAACTTTAAAATTATTTTCTGAGCAACTAAAAGGAAAGGTTCTCCACTCAATAATATCTGAGAAGGAGAAACAGCCAGCTGCTACCACTTCAACTTTAGGACAAACTACCAGAGTCCAAAAAAATTAAAGAAAAACACCATTTGAAGTCACGGACAACAAAATGTGTTTGAATGTAGGCCTAAGGATGATCGCCTATGGAAGGGGTGAGCGTTTTGTGACTGTGTTTGTGTTTGAAAGCTAGCTTGTTTTGCAAATTTGCTGTTGCAGCTTTAACTTTTGGATTGAAAGAAAGCTAATTGACACACAAAAATGTTTATAAACCTATCAGTAGCTGAGTTTGATGATCAATACAGACCCCTTTATAGTGAAGATCCTTCAAGACCTCATACAAATTCTGCATAACACAACTTTGTCCGTAAAATGTAAAATTCATCATTTCTCAGATGATTTTAGTTTAAAACATAGATGGGAGGATGATGTGCATTCTGATATGATTTGCCTTTATTTTATCCAAACATTGATAAATTAGTTATGAGTTTTAACATGGAAAATGTATGCATAAAAATGAGTACATCCATAATGCTTATTTATGAAAAAGATTATGGTCAAACAAGAGAAACAACTTTTTCCCAAGATCACTCACATAGTTTGTTTGAACTTGAATGTGACTGCTAGGTAATAAAGCTCTGTGATGTTCTTGTGCATCATTACTCCTAATGAGCCTTCCTTAAATCTTGTATAACTAAATTTTGCCACATTGCAGCTAAATGGTAAAATGGCAAATGGTCTGTATTTGTATACACCCTTCTTAGGGTTTTACAACCCCTCAAGGTGTTTCACACACAATCAGTCATCTACCCATTCACACACACATTCACACGCTGGTGATGACGAGCTACAATGCAGCCACAGCTGCTCTGGGGCACACAGACAGAGACAAAGCCTTCCACACAATGGCGCAACCGGTCTAATCTGTCTCCACTCTCCTTATGAGGAAATACTGGGCCACTGCTTTCTGTCATAGTCATGCAAACACGTGTCTTTCTGTTGAGCTGAAGTTGACAAAGCAGTTTTACAGCTGTTGCACAAGTATATAATAATCCTTACATTGAGCTTTTTCATTTATATTCAATTATAATTTATTCATTCAATTATGGTGTTCTAGATCTATTAACTTTAAAAAAAAGAAAAGAAAAGTGACTCAGAGATTATCATGAGTAGATAAGATAAACTCAACACAGAAAATTTGAGTCCTGCAGGCAGAGAAAATCCCTCATGTGGTCAATAATTAGAGCTACTGGACACACACAGTGTGTGTGTGTGTGTGTGTGTGTGTGCGCGCGCGCACGTGTGTGTGTGTGTGTGTGTGTGTGTGCAATGTGTGAACCTGTATGACGAATGTGTTATTTGTGTGCTGTCTGGGTAGATTATCATCTGTCATTTATCGGGGCATGAAGGTGTCATTTGTCATTTGGACAATGAATAGTGTACTCTGGAAATCCTCCCAACTGCACACAGTGTGGAAACAGTAATGAGACCAACAGCTCAGTTGCCATGGAGACCGGGAGAATGATTTCTGACACTTTGGACTCATAGTTTCCTTTTGGGGTTGGCTTTGGTGGTTAATTTCAAAGTTAATTTGGGTTTAAAAACCAGTGCTATGTTGAACTCTTAATGATGCTCACAAAGTGTGTCATGATGCTCATTGCAGGGACACCTTTCCATTAGCTGGCTCTTCGCGTGTTACTGAACTAACTATTACCTTTGGTAATGAAAAACTAATTGCACTGTATTAGGATTTTTGCTACCTGTGCCTTTAAATCTCACACAGTGGAGCAAAATTATTGCATTCTAGAAAGCAATTATTCATTTGTTCAAATGTATAAATGCTCAGTTCATTTCTATTTAATCACTGCAACTGTTTATTTGCTTCTTCCAATCATTAAGATGAATCATGTACATTCTGAGGTCAGGTTTTCATCTGCTTCATAAGAGTAACATGGAAAAATATTATGCTTTGAAAAAGACCCTCATACATTTTCTAAATGTCCATTTGAATGATCAGAGTAAGTTTTCTTTTTCTTTGACAGTCAGATGAGTTTATGAGACTACAAACAAAACATTTTCCCTTTGAAAAAGCAGCTCTTATCTCCACCTCCAAACCCAGAACTGTAAAAACATTTTTTTCAGGCATAATTTAAGTTCTCCAGTGCTTTTGAACATTAAAAGGGTTTTTGATGCAGCTTGTGCAATCTCCTGGATGTGTCCAAAATACATTTTCTCCAGTAATGTATTTATTTATTTATTTTAGTTTAAAATTCATGTTTTCCTGTAGCCCAAATACACAAGGTTCCAACCCATTTCCAGATTCATAGTTCAATTTTGTCTGCAAACATTATGATCATAAAGTCCTCAAGTACAGTGTAGCCTGCAGGGAGGCTAATGTGCTACAGATGGAGCATTGGAGGTGTGTGCAGTGTTTCAGGTTTCAATTTCTAACAAAATCAACATCTTCAGAAGTTCCCTGCTGCCAAAAGCTGAACATATAGTGTGTGAAGTGACACTTGTGTCAAAAACAAGTCATCTTTCTCTCTCCCTTCTAGTCTGTGTTGTCAGTTCTTTGACAGATGCAGTGTAAGCATAATGAAACCCACCAACACAAAGAACTCTTCCTGCTGTGAGTTCTTTCCTTCTTTTTGAGGTTGAACTCTCCCACTGAAGGTCCATCTGACAAATGCTTCAGCAGATTTTCCTTTACAACTCAAAACAAATCAGAACAGAACCACAAAAAATTTGGTTTTATCTCTTTCATACATCATAATAACAGTGGTTCGCTTTTCATTTTTAATCCTTTCTAAATATTTTTTCGTAACAGTTCTCAATAATAACAGTGATCCCACAAGGCTCCATCTTAGGGACATTGTCGTTCAACCTTTATTTAAATGAACTCCTGGCTCAGTGCCAAAATGATGACTATCGTGTATGCAGACGATGCAGTTATCTTTGTATATGACCGGGACATCAGTCAAGTTGCCTCTAAATCATCTGCTGTGATGGATAACGTTAACGACTGGCTACAAGCATCTTGCCTCACACTAAAAACCAAAACAACAAATGGCTTGTACTTTAGTTGGACCAGCAAACCTAAATATCTGCCTTACATTTTTGCTAAAATCATTTAATCCGAATGAAACATTTGAGATTTCATTTAGATCAAACGCTTAAAGAAAACAATCGAAACATTATATAATTCATTGAAATAAAGCACATCATGTTTTTAATCCTGTAACCCCAAAATTCCACTACCTCCGCTCCGCTCCGCCCCCGCCTTCCGCAGCCGCTCGCTTCCGAACTCAATTTTTACTGGTACCCGCTCTACAACAGCTCTGCTCCGGTGCGGAGTCCTGAGGTGCGCAAACAGGCATGCGCAGGATTTTCGAGATCTTGCGATACAGTCCGAGCAATAAACGCGGACGTTAGATCCAAACACCCGTTGTGTGGGAGAAGCATCAAAATGAACTGTTTAATCTGCCCATCATTTGTGTTGAGAGATCAGCAGTGTTTGGATCAACAAAGGGCGACTACTTTGATAGTAGAAAATGTATTTATGGCTTATTTTTGTGCATTAAAGTTCAGCTTGTTAAAAGTTGTTAAACCTGTGCATATGAAACAAAAAACGCTTTTTGTTTATGGATTTATTATGAAATAACGGAAGTTGTGCTTGCTCCCTTTCTTGTTGGGCGGTTGTGATTTCTGTCCATTGACTGCGGAGGTGCTCCGGCGTCCCGCAAAAATAGAATCGATCCTATTTTTGCTGGATGGCGGAACGGCAGGCGGCGCACTGCGCTGCACGGCCGCAGTAGTGGAACAGCTCTGACTGACTACAACGGGACCGATTTTGCTGCGGAGTTCGTGCAGGAGCGGAGCGGAGGTAGTGGAATTTTGGGGTAATTGTTTCTCTCCTCACCAACTGAAGCTGCTGTTGGTCTTAGGCTATTGAGACCACAATCAAACCACTCAGATCTCTCTAAAGGTTTAAGGATTTAATTTTGATTGATAACTGTCTTTAGATTTCAATAATACCATTATTCCACCCCCATTAAGGATATTTATTCTACAGTACCCCCCTTCCCAAAAAATAAAATAAAAGACATCTGGGTCCATGTCTCACAAGAATGTTCTGAAATGATGCTCTGCCTTTGAATAATCAGCTTTCAATTCAAAACCATCAAACAGTGAAATCAGTTTCCAGTCGGTCTGGAATTGTCTGCTCATCTGTATACTGTTTCTTGAAACTTAAAATAAAACATATTCTCAATATTCAGTTGTGCCAACATTAGTCACTGTTTTCATTAATCATTCTACAATGATTTTTTCTTGTGATTGTAATGATCAAGTAATCTAGGGTGGTTTAAAATGTAAAATAAACCTGAACTAGTAACAGTAGTGAGTGTTGTTATAGATTACCTCATCTTTATTCTGTATTGTGAATAGTTTAGTTATTGAGCTCTCCTCTTAGCTCAATATGGTCCATCTCTTGTGAGATGAATGTTTTTGTACATGGACCCTGACTAATAAATACTTATAATAAAATAAAGAATAGCCTTAAAGTGAGTGTCAAGGCCTGGGTGGAGAAGTATTTCATCCACACTTCCTGTTAGCTGAAAGAGGCGTGTCCTGGCGGACCAAGAGAGCGGCACTGAGGCAGTGGTAGACCGCACCCCCCTCAAACCTGAAGATGGAGATATAATCATGGTTTTGGGCTGAAATATTAAATTTTGAGTAAGTTGTACTAAACTGCCACAGTAATGATTGCACATGTGTACAGCACCATTAGACACTCATCTACACAGGTTATCAGCAAAAAAAAAAAGTTTATTTAGGCGTTTTTTACTCTTTAATTATTCTATGAATATAAATGTTTGCTTTAAAAAGTCTATAAATTTTTATCTGTTTCAGTTTTGGTCTACATTAATAAGCAACACATGAACTAAACTATTTGTGTTTGTAAAATCTTTATTAGATGAAAAATAAAACCTTAAAATTCACTGAAACTGAAACATTCATCTGTACGGTACGTTTCACTCTGAATTGCACACACAGATTTATTTCATTCATCTGAGAATCCATCAATTAGACTGCCACTGAAACCATTTTAAAGATATTACACCTGCACACGTTGTCACATAAAAGTTACATTTGCACCTATAGCATGTGTGCCCTTTCAAAATAAAAACATTTCCAACTGTGGCATATGTTACATGTGCAACACTTAATCATCTTACCCTGAGCTGAAGGTTCTCCACCCACTGTCCCACCACCTTGTACTCTGTTGTGGACGAGTTGGTCATCTGGAACTGGAACAGGTCGTAGCGCCCTGGAGCATCGCCATTTTTGTTAAACACAACAGAAGTGCCGGCACTTCCTGTTCCGAACAAAAGATTAAATGAGACAAGAATGTGTTAGAGACTGAGAGAGGACACAGGAACTCTTTTTGTATCATAAAAACAAAAACTTCAACCACATCATTTAAACTCCAACATGACCTCAAAGGATTCTGTCTCACCCAGCACTGAAACCTATTCCTTATGAGTATGAGAATGGATGGGAGGTATAGCAGGGTCCCTATTGATCCATTCTCTGCTGTACAATGTCCACTGAAGGAATAAGGTGGCACTTCCAAAATCCAGTTTGTCATACACACTCTAAGCTCTGCTTGAATATCAGGAACCAAATCATAATAAAAGCATAATGCAATGCATTTCAGTCACACAGTGGTCAACAACGGGGAATGCAAGGAGGACAAATGGGTCAGCCAAAGCATCATATGGTCCCCATCTGCTGTTGGTGTGCAGCAGCCTTCCTCAAAGCCCAGTCCCGGGAAAGTCACTAATTAGCTTAGTGAAGAGGTCTGGAAATGTAATGAATGATTAAAAACAGAGCTTTTTAACATAGCCAGCTATTTGTGTCTGTACTGTTATTTATTATGCAGGTGTGTGCATATCACTCCAGAACACAAGCCCTGGGAGTGTGCACAAGGCTGTCTGTTGCTGTCAGTTAACGGGAGATCTTCCTTGCAGCAGTTAATGATGAATGGCATTAATGGAAAAATGGTTGAGCTTCATTTTATACATGAGGTCTGCATAGTTGATAAGGTCAGTCTAACCATTCTGCAGTGCTGCAAGATGATAAAAACTGTTTTCACCTTGGCACCACATGTACTGGTATTCATGAACAAATGGAGATACCGTTTTTGAAATGGGACAAGGGAGTCTGGTGACTCTTGGCATGGGAATTGGGTACTTTTAATAGCCCTGGCTATAAAAAGTGTGAGGCATAGACCACAAGCATATGTTCCAAGCACTGTGGGAGCATGCTGTCTTTTGTTTCTAGAACAGAGCGTTTGGCTATTGGACTGAAGGCCACTGCACCTTCTCTTAACTTTTCAGCCAATAGGGAATTTAATCCCCCCCCCCCCCCCCCCCCCCCCCCTTCTTTTCAAGGACATTTACCACTGGGCAGTTTACAAAAAGTTCCAGGGACAAATACATGAAAGATAGAAGGGCAATTTCAGACACCAGAACAAGGTGTAAAAATAACAACAACAAAAAAATAAAATCCTGCAGGATTTGGAATGCTATTCTGATTTTTTGACATTGCAAATGTCTGTTTTTCAAAAACCTTAAGTGGCAATTTCCATGTTGATGCAGATCTGGAAATCACTTGAATCTGGTTGTTATGTAAGGTGACAGTGCATGTAGTGTTTCACATTAACAGTAAGGCTTGGCTGACCCATCCACTTAAAGAGTGAAGCACTAATTTGCAGGTATCAGTATGTCAGCACAGAAAATGAAACAGGACTGGAAGCAGTCTTGATTTAATTTACGTGAAGTTGTAAAAGCCTGAAGTGAAAGTCGTCGATATGAAACCCGGACTAAACCTCTGTGGGTGGCAGTCGCTATCCTGTCACTTCAGCTCCCACCAAAGAGACAGCAGACTTGTTGACACTATGTAGAAAGATGTTGACAAGGTATTGACTTCTGTAAGGAAAAGTTGTGCCAAGGTTGCTATTCTTACTGCATGCCTCAGCAAAATCCTATAGCGAGAACACACACATACGCAAACACACACACAGTGACTAAAGCGTCATAGATGATCGGGCACCAGGCACTCCGCTGGTTTAGAGCAAATAATTAAAATGCTGTTGTTCTGCATGTGCATTTCTAGAAATCATGCCTGTTTTCTATTAGTTGATATTTTCAGGGGAACAAAATGGTCTTTGCAGGCGCCTCGGTGAGAGCACTGTCTAAGATGAAAGATTTATGCATTTGAATGTGGCTGTGAACTAAGACATGACAAAAGTGCACTGCTGCTGAGCTGTGCTAAGCAGCGTGGGTGGACCAGGGATCCACTGCTGTGTTTCTCTCGCATCATTATTCTTGCCTCTTTTTTTTCTCTCTCTCTCTCTGCCTCTCACTCCTCAGCTCCGTGACTCCAGCACAGTGGGGAGATCAACTAAGGAGGTTTACACTCCTTCGCTCTCAAACATACATTAGCACAGGCACGTACACAAGATAATATGCGTGATGCCCGTCTAAATGCAATAAGGGGCAGTGAGAGACACCTGATGGAGCTCCAGCAGAGTAAAAAGATTTGAGGATATAACTGTGAGACAGAAAGAGATGGAAATCTTATTTTTGGCTCAGGTAAAATGAGCCCCTTTCTGTGTCGCTGCCACACTTTTGTGAATGTTTTCAGGGAACTCAGGGATGGCACTGAGGCCCAGATGGTTATTGAGACTGGAGAGTTCATTCTCAATCAAAAGCACAAATCTGCACTCGGTTAAGGTCTCATTTACAACTGCACAGGCTTCTGCATACATTCTGTTGCTTTAGGGCCACCTTAAAATCAGACATCATTTTGCCCTCTGGAACTCTGCTGCTGCCATAGCGACCGCGTGAGAGAGAGAGGCTGGCTGCTCTTTAGGCTTCAGCTCACAGACCAACGTTTGTTTGTAGTTTCTTAGTTTTTAAAATGATTTATTATCCTTTTAAACTACAGCAAATCTTTATTAAGAAAGATTAATGGGTTTAAACTAAAATAATCTTTAATATTAATTTTCCACAGATTTTTTATTTCCATATATCTTTGTTTTTGTTCATTATGAATAAATCCAAGAAAATCAATCTTTTGACAAGCATTGTTTGGAATTGTGAACTCAGAATTGTGATGCTTTATTGCTGGTTTATTGCTGTGCAGTAAATCTTCCCTTTGCTTCATCCTAATGAATCTTGCTCCCACACATATACTATAGCCTGCTGCCGTAAATACTTAACCTGGAGTGCCAGATGGTCTGCTATCCAGAACCATCTGGGAAGTTGTCATTGGTGAGCATTTGGAATAAGGCAGACCCAGACAAGAAAAATACTTGGCATGTGATTGGATGCAATCCATCACAGACAGCTTCACTTTAAATTCAGCCACTTAGTCAAATCGAACTCTTGTCCAAGCCACTGATGGAGGAGCGAGAACATATTTTCCACTGAGAAAAAGCTTCTATGCTCCTTTTCTCACTTCTTTCAGTGAGAAATGACTGTGTTTGTGAGAAGCCAGGTGCAATAGACCAGCTGCTTGTAAAGGTTTTCATATTTACTTTGTTAAAGTGGTAGTTCAGATGGAAGTTTGTTACTGTGGAGCAGTTAGTATCTCACCTGTGGATAGTAGTGATGTCAGAACCCAGAGGAGATGAGCTCACAAACACTTTGACAAGAGTGATTATGAAGTGGGCTCTTTAGCCACAAAAATAACTCAACCCTCAATTAATTTTCCTTCTAGTAAAAGTTATGTTATCGCTTTTACAACACATTAGTTTGACATGGCATCTAAAAATGATAGTTTCGTTATTTGGAGTCTACAAACAACGTCCATTATTAACGTCAGCTATCGGATCATCAGATAAGGCAAGGCAGCTTTATCTGTAGAGCACATTTCATACACAGAGGCAATTCAATAGTGAGAGTAACATGAACATTAAAATCAATGTGACAGCACAATTAAAATACACAAATAGATGTTGACCAAATTAAATACACAAATCATTTCAGATTAAGAATCAGAAAAAGGATGAACAGTTACAGTGCAGTAGGTGCAGACATTCATTCAGACTAATGGGTGTTTTTGTCAGGTCTTATTTATATTTACATCATTTTTTAACCTGAGACAGTAAGCTAATGTCAAAAGCATAATGCCCACAAAACATTTAAAAAGGTAGTGCATGCTGTTATTACTACTCATCTGGATTACTGTAGCCAGTTCTAACCAGCTCGCCTTCTGCTTATCCTTAAATGTGTCAGCTCAGCTTTTAACCAAATACAGTTAGGTTCACATAAATAGCCTTTTAATGTAACTGTGATGTAAAAACATGAAAGCATTTTTGTAAACCACTTAGAAATGAATAGTTTTTTTAATGTATTATTATTAATTTTTTATTTCTTCTTGAGATATTCTCCCTAAATCATCCATTGCAGGTAAGACACTGACTGTTCAGCAGATTTGTTTACAGCCTTACTTAAAACAGCTTTTATTTACCCTCTACATTCCTAAAGATCAAGATGTTTGACTCAACAGATACGTTTGCTATAGCACATAGGACCCATATTTAGATTTTGTGTTAAAGAAACCTTCATTCTTCACACTTATGATAAACAACCCCGTTTTTAATTGGGTCACTCTAATGTGATTTTATCAGCTCTTTTGGTTTAGTGAGTTTAAATAACATTTCCTCACAACCACGATGCCCAGTTGTGCTATTATGAGAGAGAAGCAGAGAACTGAACTCAGTGATACCTGACAACAACCAATTTGAAAGCTGGAGACCGAACCTCAGCCTTACCCTCCTCTTCCAAGCATGTGAGAGGAAGATGCCACTAAAACCTCCAATGTTTCTCTGGAGAGCTGGAGTTGTGGTTGGCCTTTCCAGGTGAAAATACGACTCTGCAATACTGTGGCATCTGTAGGATCGAGCCCACTCTCTTCTTATATATAAATGACTCACTCCAGGGCAACACAGGTTCTATACCCTAAAGGTAAAAATCTAGAAATGTGGGAAAAATGAATCAGCTTTATAAAGAAAACCAGATTTAATTAAAACATCTAGCCGTTAAATTAGCAATAAATCCTCATTGAGGTTGTTTTGAGAATATTTCCTATGAAACTACAGATTGAAAGGACAGTTCACTGTTAAAAACCTTACTTTAGTTCATAAATCGTGAATGATTCTATATTATGATCACATCAAGCTGAATCAGTGTCAAATCATTTTTGTCCACATTTAGTCTTTTTCTCTGTCAGAACCCATCATGTTACTTTAAACTGGTATTGTGGTGATTTATTTTAAATAAAGGAAAATATAGCCAGAGACATCCAGGAATAATCATGTTTGCAAAGCACTGCAACACTGCAGTGTGTTAAAGAAATATAAAAATATAAAAGAAACAGAAAAAATGATGTTGATTTGGGTTGTTTGATCTACATTAGTCCGACTCAGACCAAAAATATCACAAGTAAAGCTTTTAAACAAAGAAAAGTACCTTTATAGATTGCCTTTTTTGCAAACGTCCACAATTAAATCAAGAAAATTACTTACTGAAAAAATAACAAGCAAAGGTTTTTTATTTTATCTTCATGTTTATACAGTTAGAATGACATATTTGCCATCTATTAAAAAAAAATTAAAAGCTCGCCTTTCCTAAAGTTTATTTTCCATTTCCAAGAAATGCTATTCAATATCTTTAGTTTATTTAAAAAATAATAAAATATTTAGTTTGACAGGCACAACACTGGGTTTATGTTTACATCTACCAGCCAATAGAGGGCACCATTGCGGGTTGCCAAACAGCCCACTCGGCACAGCAAGGCTGACCCTGTGGAAAATGGCGGACTCGACCTGTCAAGCAATTGCTTCTGATCCCAGATGATGTTGTTATCCTCAGAAGAAGAGCGACCATTCAAGATCTAAGACCAAAGTGGGTTTAGGTGAAGCCTACAACAGACTGACCCAAATAAAACGTTTACATATTAGCACCAAACCTATCCCGACAGCCGGAAACCTTGTTCTATTGTTGCAACTACAACCTCCACGCACTAGATTTCGCTTTGGTGTTCGTGTTCCCTATTCCATATACAACATTCTACCTGCCCAGAAAATGAACCTATTTTGATTGTAGTTTTCTTGATTCTGCAAATTGATTAGTTAACATTTTGCAGCGATGCAAACACACCAGTCCAGTCACCATGTCCATCACCTGGTACACACACAGACAAACAAACACCCTCTTTCCTACTAAATAAAGTGTTCGGCTAACCTAAACTGTAAGTTTTTAGCTGCGGGAGCAGCTAGAGGTTCCTGACAGATGCTAAACTGACAGAAGTTTAACGAGAATTTTCTTTCCCATTATTGTTTATTTTATTGCAGCAAAATACACACACATTGTCTGTACCTTTGTTTATGTTTATTCATTTAGCAGACGCTTTTATCCAAAGCAACTTACAATTTATAACCTATAGGGCATGCTGTGATCTGTGGGGGAAACCAGAGTACCCGGAGGAAACCCACGCATGCATGGGGAGAACACGCAACTCCACGCAGAAAGGCCGCAGCCGAGTTTCAAACCTGCAACCTTCGTGCTGCGAGGCAACAGTGCTAACCACTGCGCCACCATGCAGCCCAACCCTTGTGTCTGAATATGGATTTGCTGGCAATAATCCTGATGTTTTTCTTCGATATTTATAGTTTGATTATAAAAACAAAAACACAGCAAACCAGAAATTGTTAGCATTTTCTAAAATGAGCAAGAAAAAAAGTAGGGTTCGGAACAATGAGAGGTATGCCTTGATGGATTGCAGCTGAAAAAGCAGTTCTTGAGAGTGTGTAATTATCTGATTGTTGTGGACGCTGTTGAGTCATTTCCAGCAGCTGCTCCCACACTTTCAGATCTGACTGAAAACGACGCCCGTGGGATGGATATTTGAACTAAACACAGCATACTAAAAAATCAGGACCTCTGATTGAAAAATGACATGAAATGGAAATTTACTCATATTATCTGACTACTCAACCCCCTCAAGTTGCATCTTGGGAATTATTGTTGTTACTGAAGAACACTGGCAGTTCAGAAGAAATCAGCATGACTCTCGCTCTCATGCCAAGAAGTCTTAGACTCAATTAATGATATGAAATCCGTTCAAAAATGATTTATTCATTACATGCAACACTACAGGCATCTTTTATATTTGTCACAACAGGAAAGACATTTGTTTTTCCATTGTTTGCTCATGAAATTTGTTTTTATGTTGGATTCATGTGTTCTGTGAATGTTTCTGTGGGAATAGAGTAAAGGAAAAAGTACAAAAAATGTAAAGTTTGGCTCATATCATATCAAATCCTGCAATTACTTACATTTATTTAAAATTATAGACACAATAAATCTAGCCTCCTCTCTAACAGGGTTTCTTTAGTTTGTAGTGATGTCTGATGACTCTTTATACTCTAACAGCTTGCAAGATCTTCTTTAGAGCATTTTGTAAAGTAACACTTACTTCAAAGGAGTCCTTAATGATCAGTGGCAGATGTACATACCAGAAAATGTATGACAAGACAATTCTCTCGTTTTAAACTCATCTCCCAGCAGGCTATTTTTTTCCATTCTCTGTTGCATTTTTGATCAGTTCTCATTATTAGTCTTCTACTATCGCTCAGAATCACTTCCTTTCTGTTCAAGGCTAAGTGATGTAGAAGTTCACCATAAGACCAGCAGACATATTTATTCAAACTATATGAAGGAAGAGAGCAATTCCGATATTTGATAGAACCTGAAAATAAACTGAAGCCTTCAGGTGATAACATGTTGCACATAAAACATGAGAAGTACCAATTATTTAGTCTGAAAGCTTTCTGGTTTTTATATTCCTCACTTTTCTGTTCATAACGATGACAGAAACATCTTTGATCATACAGTTATCACACATTAGACCAAAGATCTGCAACATTCACGACTGAAAGGGCCTTTTTTTTTACCATCTCTCCTATAAAACATAGCTTTACTGCTGCTGTTTCACTCTACTTTCTTCTTTATTATCTAGGTGAAAAAGAAAAGGCAGTGTGGACTGTGCATGTAGTGAAATGACATATAAATCTTTTAATTCTGCATAGAGCCACAAAATCTAGTTGACCTGTAAAATTTTCAGTAAATAACATTTCTACAATACCATATGTTTATTATTCTGCAGGTCAAATAGCTAAAACAATTACGTCTAAGTGCATTGATGGTAAATCCCTGGTAATATCATTCAGGCTTAGTAACATTGGTGATCACAGAGTTTAAAGGTACAGTTCACAGAAAAAACATTTTTAACAATGATTTAATTATTAAAATATTATTTAAAGGGACTTTATGGAGTTTTGAATTTGTATGCTCGCGATTGCCCCCTCTGGCCAAAAGCGTAATGGCAGCTGTAGGCTCGTGCACGAGGCGCACATGCTGTACGTGCACACTCCTTAACGAAAATAACAGCTGAGACAGCCCCGTGTGTGTGTGTGTGTGTGTGTGTGTGTGTGTGTGGCCCGGAGGACAGAGGACAGGAGAACACGCAGCTAATTAATTAAATAATTTGGTTCTGTACCTTTCTCTTCAGCACAGCCGACAAAGGTTTAAGATGGGTCAGTCCTCCTGCATGCTCAGATCACGCCCTTCCCTTGCTTGAAAAATTGTTCCAAAATGAAAGTTGAACCCACATCTTTTTTATCTGTGAATTCAATGCCGTTCGGCGAGTCTCAAAAAAAGTTGGGCATCTTACTGTAAAAAAATATATCATTAATGTAAAAAAGAAACTCTATATAAACTTTGTTCACATCCAGATTCAAACCCAGGTCTTCCGCACGAGAGACAGCCATCTTACAAGGTGAGCTACAGGACCAGTCGCATCTTTTGTATCTGTAACTTTTATATCCTTGATGACAGCTGAAACAACGTTCAAAGAACGGTTCGGAGAGAAAATGGCTACTCTATTGCTAATTTGCAGGAAATATCCAGAAGAAAGTAGCTAAGGGTCCTCAGAAATGTAGTTAGGTTCATCACTAGGCATTAGGAACAGCAACAAAGTCGCTGAGTTGGCACTACCTCACTCTCTGCTGCTAAATCTACTGATAGCAAATGCTACGAGCTATGCCTGAGCGTGAACGAGCATGAAGCAGCCTGCTCGACCCGAGCAGCTCTCTTTTTCTGTGATTTTACAGAAAAACAGGCAATCACAACTGCCAGGGCTCATTCTACAGGACCAGGGCATTGCAGGAGAATGTATGAAGAAGAAATGTATTATTTCTATACATGTTTTGGCTGTCAAACTTCCATAATACCCCTTTAATTAATGATTATAATCAGTCACTCTGAGTTTTTCATGGAAGCTGAACATGAAAATAGTCTCCTACACCTGTCTGCTGCATTAGCTTCTGATAGAAATGACATATCAACTGCCACTTAACATTCATGGACTCACCCATGGTGACTCGTGATGGGGAAGGTTGTTGATTTAGTGTCCAGGAAACAGCAGAGTATGTCTTGTTAGCATTGTTAGTGTGTTAGCATTAGCAACTCCACCACAAAGAAGAATTATTTCAGGCTGGTGTTATTTGTGGAGATAAAACATCAACATTGCAAAGTAAATGGAGTCAGTGGTAGAGTTGCATTGCTGTTAGCCAATCAGAGGTGAGATGTCCAAACATCAGGAAGTAAGACTTCAAATTCTGCTGTCTGAAGCTGTCCTCTGATCTGGCAATCTCCTAACTTCTGAAACGGGTGCACCAGGGCGTTTTGTACCCAGAGTAAGACTTACAAGGCATTCATTCCCACTAGAGATCACTGAAAATGTAATAGTTAAATGAGTCAACCACACCTTTAAATGTCACAAAAACTCCAACCAGAATAAAAAATTTTCTGTCCAAACAGACTATTGGCATCAAATGGGTAGACATTTGTAAATGTCCCACTCACCGTTGAAGCTGGTGTTGCGTATGTACTTCAGCAGGGTCTTTCCATCTGTGGACTCCATTTGTGGACAAACGCCAGGATGATCAGGACACAAGTCCCTGTGCATGTTGTGCAGAGCGTGGGCCATGGCATATACCGCGTCAATCACAAACTGCACCTTCCCCTCCTGCTCGTACTTGGAGTCGATCCCAATGCGCTCCTGGCCTGAGGAAGAGGAGAGAATGAATAAATATGAAAAGTTTTAGCCAAATGAATCAGAAACAAAAGTTTTCTCTCAGCTCTGCCTGTTACCTCCAGCATCTGCTTTGGATTAGAGGGGAATTGCTCCCATAAAGAGGGACAACTTTAAAGGAAATAAAAGGACACTTTTAATTCCCTGGAGGGATATATCATCTCTCAAACTGAGCGGTGAGAGAAAAGTGTTTGTGACAAAAAAAGCAGAGTCAGACTGAATTACTGGGATGTGTTACGGCGTAATAGGCAGCCCACAATGATGCTCATTTGTCCCATCTGAAAGGAGATGAAGCTCTCCATGAACTTTAGTTACAGACTCTGCTACAGTGGATTTCTGCTCCTTTATATCCTCTTGGTAGAGTATTGGCCTTTCACTAAGGGCTACTGCAAAGGTCCACTCTTGTTTTGCTGGTACAAAGTTTGAATACAGAATATACAACCTTACCTTACAAGCTGAACTTCCTTTAATCAGGTAAAAACTACGTTGAACAAAAATGACATCAAACTAAAATATTGCATTTAATAATCATTATTGTCATTTTAATGATTCGAAAATGCAATCAGGGGAACCTGAGTATTTGAAGATGATGTTCTCCTCACTGATAGCCGTCCACAGGAACTCAACGTTGATTTTATTAAGAAAAACAGAAGAATGCGGGGGACTTCCACAAACCGGTGGAGCCCACCAGCAATCTGCTCTGACATTTCAGTTCATCTCTCAGAACTTAACATACATCTCAGCCCACACGTAACCTTTTTGATTTTCTGAGCTTTGAGCAGGGAGTTCAACAAGCAGCCCAGGAATGCAAAAGCATCCTGTTAGTATTTCATATGCAGAAATATCCATTTGACAAGAGGGTTTTAAAAAGAAGCAATAAAACAGAGTTTGTGCAGCCGTTTCCAGCGCAACTGGAGAAAAATGGATGGGAGTTGGTTTCAGTAGGTTTGTAGGACTCCTCTATTGTCTCTGACAGATGATAAAAGAAACAATACAAGAGATTTTATAGGAAACAAAATCCTTAAGTAAAGAGTCATTTGTGTCATATCCCTATTACTGTCATCGCAAATGGAAGAAAGACTAATGCAGCGTCCCACTTCTCAGCTGTCATCCACGTAGGTAATTCATGCAGCGAAAAGCCTGTCATGCCGTTGGCAGGCAGACCTTAGGTAACATGAGAATGCATCACCGTTGAAAACAACACTATCATTAATATAAAACAAAGAAGGAGCTTAAGCAGAATGGACTTGAGGTTTCGGACCAATTTTCCTGTCATTTAAATACTCTTTGCTGTCAGCATTCCGAGTTGTCACGGTGACATGGTTTAGGAGGAATTTAGGGAATCTAGGAGCCTTGGGAGCAGATGGTGTGTTGCTGTTGTTTGACTAAGAGATGTTGTGCATTAATTAATCTGATAATATTGTTTATTTGTCCAGGCCCTGCTGGGTGAAAACACCTGGCGTTAGACATTCTGGCTGTGCAGCAGACAGGATGGGTGGAATCAAACCCCAACTGTCTTTAGTGCCTGCAGCTTTTATCATTAAATTAATACATCTTCCTGATGTAACACAGTCCTTATTTCCTTAATTGGTCAGTGACATAAACTCCTGTACCTGTGCATTTGCGGCTGGTGTCCTCCTTCTTGGAAGCACTGAGCAGCCTGCAGTCAAAGTTTTCTTCCCAAAACTCAGCAAACCACACATTTCTGCGGTTGTTCTCCAGGGTGAGTGCAGTAAAGTATTCATCAAATCCTGGGACAGAGGAAAAAGGGGAGAATGGCTCAGTTCCGGACCAATTACCAACCGATTCAGACCTGCAGGAAATGAAGGGAAACCTGCAGCAGCGGCGGCGTGGTGGCGGTGCCGATGTGCTGCTGCTGCTGCAGGGTTTTGGAAACACACCAGTAAGCACTACTTCATCACAATTTGACCATAGTGGATTCTTTTCTCTCCGAAGCTCTGTGGTACTTTAATCTCCTCTTTCATCTAAGAAATTACATTAATTAAAAAACAGGATGCATAATAAGCAAAACACAGGCTTTGTAAGTGTTGTTGTAGCCTGTTGCCTGAGGCTGTGTGTGTGTGTGTGCGTGTGTGTGTGTGTGTGTGTGTGGGGGGGGGGGGGGGGGGGGTGAACTGGTTTTCCCAACTTCAGAACATCCATTAAAACTCAGATGGAGAGAAGGCAGAAAGCATTAGTGTGTTGTGCCCATTGCAGTGAGGCTTTATGTTTAAAACAGTAACTGGAATTTTCCTTTCTTTGTGAGAACTTATTGAAAACAATGTGGGCCAGTTAACTATGGGACAAAGCCACATAATTAGATTCACTTTGCTGTTTTATTTCCTTCTAGAAGAACTCACAGTTCTCTGTAAGTTGGATCATTTTAATGTTCATATTTTAATGTTGCTGTTTCACTGCTCTGTTATCCAGCCATGTCAGCTGGGTAAAAGTAATAATAGTTAATTGCAGCGGAACGGTTCAGCTGATGTTCATTTCAGCAGACCATCAATGACGCATGGAGGATAACTAATGTTCTCCTTGCCTCTGCAGCGTGCATTTCTCCTGGCTAGACCTGCCCTAATTAACGCATACTTCATAAAAAAAAGACCTTCATTTGTAATAATGAGTGTTTCTACAGAATGTGACACAGATCAGAACTTAAAATAGGCTGGTAATGTTCCATTTATGTGCAGAAATTTGCATGTCCTAATGTAGATGTGTAATATCCTCATTTGCTTCCTTTTTCTCGAGGGTAGAACATTCAGCGTACATTTTAATAGAACTAAATTTTGTATTGACATTTATTTTAGAGATCTATGAGAAAGTATTGAAACTTTTACAAAACATTTAATTTTAGTGCCGCTTTCAAGGATACGTGTTTCCTTGCAACTCTATTTTCCCATTAATAAATCATTGAGAACTGTGGCATAATTTAACTGCATTCAGGGAGTTGTCAAAATGTCTCAAAACGTTTTGGAATTCCCAAGCATGAGTCACGGAGCCATGCCCTCATGTCGCTGGAATAATTAAAAAATCTTCATAAATGATTCTTTAAAGAGTTGGTAACCTGGCTCTAACCCTTCTCACCCATGTCTCAGTTTAGCGTCTGTCAGTAAGTGAAAGTGAAAGAACGATGACAGCTTTTGGATCCTCTGCAGGTTTCTTCCTGCTAAAAGGAAGTTTTTCTCTCCACTGTCGCTACATGCTTGTTTAGTATGAGGATTGCTGTAAAGATATTAGCTACGTTTGCATACGTCAAATTTCCCCTATCCGATTCAAATTTTTGTTGATCGGAAATCCCAAATCTCTATGGACACTAACTGTAATGATGCGATTATGCCGTGAGTATACACAAACCAAGCCTTCAGTCAGATTAAATAGGTTGAGCATTCGCAGAGTTGTCGTTCCAAGAAAAATATTGTATCCAAACACCAACTTGTCCGCACATCTTTCCCCTCACATTTTACTTTCTTATTCTCTAGCTTTGTCTATTAACTTTTATTCTTTCCCCTTGTTATGGACCTTATTCACATTTTTACCTGTATGCTTTACTGATCGCTTTAACTAAGCTACAGGCTCAGCAGTATGTAACACTACTGCTCCTCTGCCACAGGAAAGGAGAGCAAGATAACTTGCCTTTACCTCCCACCATGTTTTCCATTTGTCCTCAGCGGCTGCAAACGTGGAATGACGTCACACCGAAGTTGGACACATGCGCAGTGGGCATTATTTTACTCCAAGTATCCGAATGAGTGTGTACATGGATGTCAATCGGAATGATGATGGGACAAAACCACCTCTCTCATTCAGAATGGGATTTCATTCTGATCGGGCCATATCAAACCAAAATATTCTGATTAACATGTTTACATGAAGAATTTTTGATCTGATAGGGCGTTCATTTGGATTAATTGTGCCCATGTAAACATAGCTAGGACGGATGTGCATTGGTGAAATCATGGCGATACGATAGGTATCACGATACAGGGAAGACGATACTATATATTGTATCACGATATATTGCAACACATTCAGTCAGATAATATTAGCAATTTCTTAGACTGAATGTATTAATGGAAAATTCAATAAAAAGTCTAAACTGATATGTAACATGTTTAACATGAGTTATCTGAACCATAATAAGAGGGATTTACATTTCTATGGTGGAAACAAAACCCATTACACATTGCTGCCAACTAGCGATTGGCATTTGAATTGCACCAAAACAAAAGAAAATACACAAATGTCTGCAAGTAAATTCTTCCAAAAGTTAGATACACGGTTTTTGAATATCAATATAATATTGCTGGAAAAAGTATCACAAAATATTGCAAATCAATATTTTTTTACATCCCTAGTCTAGTGACACCAGTCAGTGGCTCGATGCAATCTGGGTTCATTATATAGAAAACTTTTACTGGTTGGCTTAATGAACTGAATTGTATTGAAAAGTTTACTTTGCGAAGTGCATTGAGACGACTGTTGTCTCGTCGTGATTTGGTGCTATTTAAATAAATTGGTGAAGTGAAGGACGATGCAAATAAATTTTGACTTAATCACAACAAGAACATTTGCATGATTTGATCCCGTCGTGTTGATGCAGATGATATGTTTATCGGACTTGTGGGGAAGTGTTGTTTGTACCAATTCAGTGATTCTGACTGAATTTTTACGTACTTTCACCCAACTTTGTGTCTCCTATCAGTCCCTGATAGTCGTGACCTGGTGAGACACTGGTTTTCGGGTTGACATCTCCTTTCTAACTGAGAACCAAGCTTTTTTCAGTGTTAGTGGTAAATAAACAGAAAAACAGGAAGCTGTTTTATGCTGAGTCAGTTTCGTATTTCACTAATAACCTAAACGTTTGTTGTTGTCATTGGGAGACTTTCATAGTGTCTCTGAGAAAAGTGCACAAACAATAAATTTCTGATCCACTTTAAATCGAGTCTTGGAGAAGAGATGAGCTCACGGCTCGTCTGAGTGGGGCCAGTTACAAAGTGTTTCTACTACAAGCTAGTCCGTCATGTGTTTTAGTGCAAAAATACATTTTGTGACAAACCTCCACAGATTGATTATATTCTGATCCCAGGTCAACATACACTTCCCTCTGATGCAGCGTCTCAGTTCTAGCAGGTCTGACATCTTATGTACTGATAAGCTCTGATCAAGTTCTTCTTCTTGTCATCTAAAGCGAAACATTTCTGCTGCTGCTATGTCTCATTTTCTCGGAAAATAATCTGCTTGACAACTTCCTCCAGATTCAATTCCATTAAAACAACTGGTTAAGTTTCACCATTTTCCTGAAACATTACTGCTGATGCTAAATCTGATTATTCACTGCAAACTGATTATAAAACATCTGCAGAAACTCTTCTTAAAATACCTGAATTACCAGTTAAATTTCATTTAAAGAACATTTATTAGCAACCTGCCTATGCAGAATCCCAGTACAACAGAACAAAAAGTAAAACAAAAGTGTGTTGAACTGAAAATATGAATCATCTTCGGCAAAGTCATCATTATAAAATCAAGACAGAAAATAGCAGTCAACTTTCTCCAGTTTTAAGATTTTAGGGACATGTAAGCTTTCACCGATGGGTGTGGTACTCCGTATTACCATGCTGGTGTAACTGCATGTCTACACTCAGATTGTCAACATCATGTTCCCTTCTCAAGGTTCTTCTCTGCCAAGCCTGTCTGCTTATCTAGGCTGTCCTGCACGGAATAAAGGACTGAACCATTATACTAGTAAATAATCATATGGTTGAATGAACAATTATGGTTGATGAATAATAATAATGTTTTGATTAATCTGTGCTTATATTAATAAGGGTGATTAATCTGTGCTTGAATTACTGAAGTTGAAATTAATATTATTATTATTATATTGAAAGATTTATATATGATGATCAGTAATGTTTGATATAACAAGGTATGACGTGTTTTGGGCATGTCCTGCCGGCAGGAGGCTCCCGGGTCAACCCAGGACGTCTCCAATCTGGTCTGGGAACGCCTTGGGGTCCTGCCGGAGGAGCTGGTGGAGGTGGCCGGGGAGAGGACGGTCTGGAGCTCCCTAGTTTGGATCCTGCCCCCGCGACCCGGGCCCGGATAGGCGGAGGAAGACGACGACGATGACAAGGTAATCATTGTCTACACTCAGACACAATGTTCATCAGAGATAAATTAAAGTTAAGTTAAACGTCATGAAACATAGATATTTTCTTACCCACAAATCAGAACTTCCTGTATCTGAAAGAGGGCGTGATGTTCTGAGGTTTGTTTATTAACACCCCTTAACATGGCACGTCCCGGTTGGCCAAGTATTTCATAATAAGACAATATTATTGGGAAATATTGTCAGAAGGAAGTTAAACCCAAAATTATGTTTGTTTACAAAATGTAATTCTGTTAACATGTTTTTTACAAGATTGTTTGTTTGCTACTGCCTGAAAAAGAATGTTTTTAGAGTGAATTAGAATTTAAAGTTGGAGAAAACATGTCAACATGCAGTGATTACATTATCAAAACAGAGAGCCTGGAGCAAGCCCATGAAGTAAAAACAGTAAAATAAAAAAGAAAACATGTTTTAGTTTGGATTAAAAAAAATAATAATTACAGGCCACAAAAAGAATGTCACAGAAAACATCATAAGCAAGAGTAAAATTGATGTAGTTATTCTGACGTCCAGCTGGGAGAAACAAAGTTCCAGACGGCAGGTTTTCTAATAAATCCTCTCTGTATATAAATGCAGATGTTTGGTCATAACTGGCTGATCTGTAAACAAATTTGTTGTTTAAATTAATTAAAAACTAAACTTTTTGAAAATAAAATCTTATAAACTCTAAATAAATTGCACCAAGTTACAACATCATCTAAAATTCCCCATCCAGATAACAAGTGACAAGCGTAGCTAGAATGAGTGACAGTAACAGACGGTGTGCAGACTGGTTACCTTTAATGGAGGAGCGTTTAGGCAGGATCGTGACTGCTCCCACAGCTACGTCCTCAAGCTGGTGGATGGGGCTGCTCTTAGACCCCCAGCTGTCAGAGCCAATCCACAAGAAATGGCCCACCTGATTGGCCCTCTTGGTGGCATTCAGAACTCCGCTGCAAGAACATTTATATGTTTATTAGGAGAGAGAACACCAAAGGGATGTGCAATCCTATGTCTTTTACAAAGAGCCCGTACCAGCCTTAAGGAGCTGTGTGGACATGAAAGCCTTCACCTGAGGTTTTTCTCATTAAGGCACAAACAGAATGGAGAGTATTATTGTTCTCATTTGCTGTACTTTGAGGGAAGCGGGGATGCTAATAATTAAATAACAGGAGCACCCTTCTCCAGTTTCCTGTGCTTCTTTGGTTTTCATTTTGTGGTCTTGATGCTTTTTTGGAAAAAAAAAAAAAAAAAACGTAAGTCTGTACATAAAAAAAAAATAAAGTCCTCTCTCACATTTGCCAAAAATGTACTTGATTGACCCCCAGAAGAATACTTTGTGTACTGATGAGATAGAGGTGGGACATTTTGGAAGTTCCATGTTGTGTTACATCTCGATTAACTGATATGGCGGTGGTAGTGTGATGAGTTGGGGCTGTGTGTCAGGACTTTTACCACTTATTGTAATTTGACATTGAATTCTAGTCTAGAATCTAGATCGGCATTTACCAAAGCTAAATTGTTGATCTAGCAACATTCTATTGGAACCTTGCAGCCCCAGCCAGTATTGTGGCTGGCCAATCACAGCACGTTCATTTAGAAAAACAATGTGATTTTTTTAATGTTTTATGTAGCTCTTCCACAATATCATGGCAGACTGCTCTGTTGAGTGATATCCGTAGCGGTCCAATCACAACACTCTTTTGATGGGTGGGATGTTACTGAATAAACTAAAATGGCAACTGCTCGTTTGAAACAGTTTTGGCAATAACTTTGGACTATTCAGACTTGGGTTTTACTTTTTTTTCCTAGTTTATTTAGAAAAAGGGTGTGTTTTCATCTTCTCTGATGGAGTATGGCAGACTGCCTCGTTGACTGACATCTGTAGTGGTGAGTATGTCATGTTGCTTGCTATCCAATAGCATGCAGAGACAGTTTGAAAGACAAGTGCAGTTCCCATCCCACAAGTTAAAGCCATCATTGGACAGTGATCAGACTATATATTCACAGTGCTCAGCATAAATGAGTACACCCCACTACATTTGTCAGAAAACCTTTAGTTTCCCTTCAGAATCAACATTTCCTATGAGATACCAAACTAAAAATACTACCACAAATGGGCCATTGATTGCAAACATGATTTGTTAATTTGCACACGCAAAACAAGTGATTTTTCTTACAGATCCATTCAAGCCCATGTTGCAGAAATGAGTACACCCCAATTATAGTCTTAGTAGAAAAGCCACACTTAAGACTACAACATTTGAATTAACAGGTTTTCAACCACAGGTGAGTATAATGATTAACTTAAGAAGTGTCCAGTAGACAGGTGACTATAAAAGGGCATTACTTAGAGAAAAGCCCTTCTCATTTCATGTTGTCAGCAATGACTTCACATAAAAGAGAAATGTCACAAAATCTGAGAAAGGAAATCATTTCTTTACACAGAAAAGGTGAGGGCTACAAGAAGCTATATACCAGCTCAGTGTCCACCCTGAGACTGGAAGATCAGCATTTGATTCCTGCTCGGGTCATACCAAAGACTTTGAAAAAATGGGATGCAATGCCTCCCTGGTTGACACTCAGCATTAAGTGGTTGGATTGAGGGGTTAAACCACCAAATGATTCCTGAGCGCGGGTGTGTCTGCAGCTCACCGCTCCCCCAGGGGATGGGTCAAATGCAGTGAACAAACAACTGATGGGACTTTAACTTTAACTTTAAGATCAGCAAAGCTTTACATATCAGTCAAAATACTGTGGCAAAAGAAATAAAAAAAATTAAGAAAGATGGAAGTGCAACCATCTTAGAGACGTCCAGGCCGTCCATGGAAGTTAAAGGGACTTTACGGATTTTTGAATTTTTATGCTCGCGATTGCCCCCTCAGGCCAAAAGCGTAACAGCAGCTTCAATAGTAGGCTCGTGCACGAGGCGCGCATGCTGTACGTGCACACTCCTTAACAAAAATAACAGCTGAGACAGTCCCGTGTGTGTGTGTGAGGCCCGGAGGACAGAGGACAGGAGAATGCGCAGCTAATTAATTAAATAATTTTGTTCTGTACCTTTCTCTTCAGCACAGCCGACAAAGGTTTAAGATGGGTCAGTCCTCCTGCATGCTCAGATCATTCCCTTCCCTTGCTTGAAAAATTGTTCCAAAAGGAAAGTTGAACCCACATCTTTTTTATCTGTGAGTTCAATGCCGTTTGGCGAGTCTCAAATAAAAATTTGGGCATCTTACTGTAAAAAAATACCATTAATGTAAAAAAGAAACTCTAAATAAATTATGTTCACACCCAGAGTCAAACCCAGGTCTTCTGTATGGGAGTCAGACATCTTACAAGGTGAGCTACACTCTATTAACATTCACAGTATCTGTAACTTTTATATCCTTGATGACATCTGAAACATTGTCAAACCAAAGAACGGTTCGAAGCGAAAATGGCTATTTTGTTGTTAAATTGCAGGAAATATCTAGAAGACAGTTCTACAGAAAGTAGCTAAGGTCCTCAGAAATGTAGCTAGGTTTGTCACTAGGCGTTAGGAACAGCGACAAAGTTGCTGAGTTGGCACTACCTCTCTCTCTGCTGCTAAATCTACGGATAGCAAATGCTATGCCTGAGCGTGAACGAGCATGAAGCAGCCTGCTTGACCCGAGCATCTCTCTTTTTCTGTGATTTTACAGAAAAACAGACAATCACAGTAAAAATGCCAGGGCTCATTCTACAGGACCAGGGCATTGCAGGAGAATGTATGAAGAAGAAATGTATTATTTCTATACATGTTTTGGCTGTCAAACTTCCATAATGCCCCTTTAACATCTTGGCAGGAGCGTCTTCTGGTGAGAAGGGTTGAAGAAAATCACCATGCATGTTCACTGCAGTTAGCTAAAGCAGTAGAACGCCAAACTGGAGTGACCGTTTCCATGACACCATACGGCACACACTGCAGAGGAATGGCATGCATGGGTATCGTCCACGAATGGAGCCTCTCCTAAAGCCCATGCACAAAAAACCATGCCTAGGATTTGCTAGGGCCCATGCTGAAAGAGATGAAGACTTCTGGGACTCTAGACTCTGGAGTGATGAGACAAAGATCTCAGTTTTTGGAACTAATGGTTTCAAAGCTATATGGCATCGTAAAGGTGAGGATTTCAAAGAGAAATACATGGTGCCTTCATGGAAGCATGGTGGTGGCAGTGTCCTTATGTGGGGCCGCATGAGTGCTGCTGGTGTTTGAGAGCTGCATTTCATTGATGGTGTCATGATGCTGCCATCACTGTGCACTTGGTCGTCATTCACTTGTCCAACACGACGATGATCCAAAACACACATCTAAAGCTACTGTTGCATTTCTGAAGAACGGTGAAGAGGATTGAATGACAAAGCTTGTCTCCTGATCTGAACCCAATCCAACACCTGTGGGGAATTCTGAAGCGGCAAGTTGAGCATCACACTCCATCCAGCATCCAGGCTCTAAAAGAGGTTATTTTTGAAGAATGGAAAAAGATAGATGTCGCAACATGTCGCCATCTTCTTCATTCCATGCCTAGAAAACTTGGTGCTAATCTTGAAAATCACAGTGGTCGTACAAAGTACTAGATGTCGTCGTTTTTGTTGCGGGGTGTTTTCATTTTTGCTTCAATCTATTGTAGTAAAACTGAAGATTTTGTGATCTAAGTTATATTATTAACCTTAATTTCATGCTAAGAAGTTAAAAAAATGTTCAATAAAACCCAGCCTTGTGAAAATTCTGGAAATTGTTATTTTGTTCATTCAGCTACTGATTAAATGTGTTCTTCTTTAAAGGGGTGTACTCATTTATGCTGAGCACTGAATATAGGATGGTTTGCCAGGCATTAGGATTCACGGAGAACATCCATCCAGTGGCTTTCAACATCCCTTTAATGCAGGAAAACTTTCCAAATTAAAGCAATCCTCCATAGAAAAGTTGAGCTAAATCCCTCCACAGCGATGTGAGAGGCTCATTACTACTCATCACAAATACTTGAGGGCAGTTGTTGCCACCAAGGGTGTTAGAACTAATTATTAAATTTCGGTTCAGATAGCTCTTTTCTTTTAATAAAAGTAAAAAAATAGTTTAAAAGTGCCTTTTTATTTACTCAGGTTATCTTTGTCTATTACTGAAATGTGTTTGCTGTGGTGAAACATTTAACTGTGACAAAAAGAAGCAAAAACAGAAGAAATCTGTAAAAAGACAACAATTTTTCTCAGAACCATATAAACATTTCTTAGGGGAATGGTAAATGAAACAGCATCACTGTTGCTTTGCTTCACTCTGTATTCCCAGTTCTCCTCTGAGCCATGTTTGTGTTTGTGTTGTCACAGGTATGTTTGTGCAGCCTGTGTGCATGTTCAGTTTGCACTTCTAGCTTGTCTTGAAGAGCTGCTGCTAAGAGATTAAAACCCCTCAACAAGGGACGTCCTCAGCAGCAGCATGCATGACAATTGTGTGTCCTGCGCTCCTCACCGTATGTCTTCCTCTGTGGCGAAGATGATGACTGCTCGCGAGTGGTGTGTCTCCAGCAGCTGTTGTATGATTTTGTCGTAATCCTCCATCTTGGGGTTGTGTGGAACCTTCAAAGACTGGGCTATGCAGATTCCACCTTTATTAATGGGATAAGAGTAACAAATGATGAGACCTGTGGGACGATCTCGCAGAAACATAAATACGCAAGAAAGCCAGAGATCACAAGCTGCTGCTCTTTTATGGAAATCGTATCCATAGGGGAGGGAATCCTCACACAATGGCAGGACTGTGATGAAGCTGTGTCTTCTGCCACGGAGTTCAGCAATACCTTCACAGGGTACACATTTACATTTTGGCAGCGATCTGCAAACCACAGCAGCATGCAGTGTAACATTTACTGTATGGAGCTCCTTCCAGCTGAGCAGGAGTATCGTCTCACAGCCAGGGAGAGTTACAAACACATCTGCTCTAATAAATCCAATAATCTACACCAACTGGGACAAAACAAAAAAGCTACAGATTTAATTCTATGAAACTGAGGCAAAAGGAACATCAGTTTGTCATTGAATTTTCATTTAAAGTCATTATCAAACATCACTTACTGAAACCTGAACCAATCAGATAGAGCAGCAAACAAAGAGGATATTAATACAGACGATAAATCACTCTCAGACAGGTCGCCGCTGATGAGTTTGTACAGGCTGAAAAGCACTGATTGCTTTCTCTTTTTTCACTGCCTCATGAAGCATTTACTACATCATGCTATCACAGCTGGCTTTAAGCAGATTACTTGATATTTGTTTTGTTTTTTTCTATTGTGACTTTCAACAGCTCATCATGGAGTTAAAAGGCAAAAAAACATCCCTTTTAGGAGAAAAAAGCTGGAAGGCCCTTTGCTTTCCTCTGTGGTGTGGTAATTATATGTGCTGAGGACAGGCTAACCTTTCAAGCACTTTAGATACATAGATAATATGATAACCTGAGCCAGAGAACACCCTAACTACTGCAGGCCTACACTGAAGCAGCAGCTTATGTCCCGAGTCAACAGCATAGCTCTACCCAAACCAATTAAATTTCTCCCACTCAAGCATTTTAATAGTCTACCCAATAACCTCTCAGTTGGACTTTCCCTGAACAGACAGAGAAATGGAGGGGATCTCCTAATTGCCACTCTCCTCAGGCTCATTACTTTGATATAAACAGCTTTCAGCTGGCAGATCACACATCTCCAGTCACAATATTCTGTGGCATTTCTTCAGGCAGAAGAAAGCAAAGTGATAACTGTTGATCTTCTACTTAGATATATGTTTTTCTAGAATCATGGGATGTTTTTATGTGGGAAAATACCCACGGAGTGTCAAAAGAACCTCTTAGATGGCTGCTGCCATCCAGCCTGAGTGGATTAAACAGAAGAAACGGAGATCCCGCTGGTGGCTGAGTCATTGCTTAAGGGTTTGTAGTAACAAGTTTTAGGGAAACATGCTTTGTGATGCTTGTGCAGAGAAGACACAGCTTCAGGTCTCCAAAGATGGACAGGGCTCAGGTGAACTGTGTGAAGCTGATTAGTAACAGGAGGACCGGCAGAAAGGAAAAAAAACCCAAACATGACAGGCATGGTAGAACAACGTGGAATTATTACAAGAAGAGGAGAAAGGAAAAGTCATTTTGTCCTCTGAGAGCTTCAGTTATATGAAAATACCTCATGACAAAACCCTGCAGAGTTGAGTAAACAGCTATATTAGTTTAACAGTCCTGAACAAAGATGGATCGCAGGTCACAATAGTTAATAACTCAGAGACCACAAGAGCCACTGATGAAGATAAAAAGCATCTGGAGCAGATCTCCCGTCTTCACAGAGGAATGTGCTGTGGGTTTAAAGCTGCCCGGATGGCTGTAGGCTGGCTGTTGTGCAACGGGGTTTAAATTATTAAATACCTGCAGAATACCTCATCTGTCAGTCAGGTGGTCAGACGGTTAGTCTGGGAGGCAGGCGTGATAAAAATGCAAGTGTTGTATCAGTGCTTCCAGAGTGCAGTGTTGTGTGTTGGACCGCCTTCCCGTGTCCCTGGAATGGGAATGGACTTGAAAGGGTCTTCAGCTCAGACAACGGTTTTAAAGCAGAGCAGCTCTTGTCTGTCTTGGCTGCAAATGTCTGATGCGAGGCAAAGAAATGTCAAACTCTGGGAGAAGAAAGTGTTTTAGACCAACTTCTTAAAGTAATTGAACAGTATGGACCTCTCTGGTCCAAAACTTCTCCAACTGCAATGGGGTGAATTCAAAAGGTCTGGATTTTCAATTTTCTTTTCACATTTTTATGTTTTAAAGGGAGCAAGTTCTGAAAATATAATATTTTCAGTGTTTGAGAGTATATTTCTGAGAGACATCCAACAACCATTGGGACCTGAAATCCAAGAAAAAAAAACAGTTGCAAAGATGTGCTTTGCTTTTACAAAACAAGTGCAGGCATGTCAGGAAAAGTCTACTCCATAATGCCTTCCAGTGATGAGTGTCCAATTTTACAGATAAATGGTCAAAATGTAGTAATCTCCCATTCACGAAGTTACAGTAAAGTACTACATCAGAGTTTCCCACCCAGAGGTTAACCAACAAACGCCAAAGTGATTATCTCGTGGTACAATGATCATCTACCTTGTCTACCACTGTTTCCCAACAGGCAGCATCTACTGGCTCCAGCTCAGCAGTTCTCTTCTGATTAAAATACTCCGAAGGAAAGGAAGAAGGAAAAGACAGCTAGAGTCCAAATCTTTTCAGCTGGACCCTTCCTTGATTTGGTACTGTAATTGGTTCCTACTAAGAAGAACTATGGAAGCCAATTTGAGGTAAGGAAAATGCTTTAATATAAACTCCACGCAGGTATTGATTTGGAAGTCAATCCAAAACCTCGTTTTGAATGTGAAAAAAAAAAAAGAAAGACTTAGACTGCTTAGTGGTTGGTGTGCTGATCCGCTCTGCAGAGAAATCTGAACCAATACAGCATGCAGCCTTTATGGAGAAGTTTTAACTCGTTCATATTTTCATTGTGTTAAAAACCAAAATCATCAGTTAATGTTTGGAAATGAGCTAAATAATCCTAATGACATTGAAAATCAGCATTTTGAGAACAGCATGGCACAGAGCTGAATGCAGAGCATCTTGTCTTATTCAAATGAGCGGCATACTAACGACAAGGAGAAAAATCATGTATTCAGTAAATACAAGCAAATTCGGTACATGGACTAACATTTTTCAAAAGAGTAGAAAATAAAACGAACTGACTTTGAAAGCAGAATAAAGATTGTTATTGCACTTAAAATCCACAACTAACTGCTATAGAAGAAATACTTGCTCTGGCTCTCACATCCTCCTACTTAACCATCATCAAAAATCCATGGATGCACTTCAAAAGAGGCAGCATGGATCTGCCAGAATGACTCACTTTCTGCTAGAAAATCTGGTTTAAAAAAACCTAAGCACTAAAACACTTCTCTTGTTACAAAAAGCTGCAACTATTGCCAAAAAGTGTGTGACAACTATAAGGACGCAATGTGTTGGATGTTCAAATATTTGCTTGGGGCCTTTTTCCTTTCTTACCATTTGGAAACTCATCAAGATTGAAATTAAAACACAATATTTCATGAAATATTAAAAAAGCAAGGTTGTTTATAGTTCATTCCAACTATTCGCTGTAATCGAGTGTCACTATAGACAAAACATTTTAGATGTCAAAGTCAGTGAAGGAAACACAGGTTAAAATAGTTTTCAAATAAAAACATAGACACTGTTTAGTTTCTTCATCCATCCATCCATCCATTTTTGGCCGCTTATCCGGGGACAGGTCGTGGAGGCAGCAGCATAAACTCAGGAAGTTGTGCGGGTTGCCTCATGATCGGATGGTCCTCCTGCAGAGGTATTCTGCTGTTGTGTCCTTGGGCAAGACACTTCACCCAACTTGCCTGTGTTGGTGGTGGTCAGAGGGGCCAACGGCACCAAATGGCAGCCTCGCCTCTGTCAGACCTGTCAGACCTCCCCAGGCTAAAAAGTTGCTTACCATCACTAGCGGTGTGTGAATGTGAGAGTGCATGAAAGCGTCTTTGAGTGTCCTAAACAGCGCTATATAAGTTTGAAAGTTATTATTATTATTATTATTATTATTATTATTATTATTATTATTATAAGCAGAGAGCCCCAGACTTCCCTCTCCCCAGACACTTGGGCCAGCTCCTCCAGGAGAATTCTAAGCAGTTCCCTGCCCAGCTCCCTTCCAGCGTGTCCTGGGTCTTCCTTTGGTCTCCTCCCAGTTGGATGTGCTTGGAAAACCTCAACAGGGAGGCATCCAGGAGGCATCCTAACCAGATGCCCGAGCCACCTCAACTAGCTCCTTTCTACTCTAATCCTTAATGACAGAGCTTCTCACCCTATCTCTAAGGGAGAGCCCAGACACCCTACGGAGAAAACTCATTTCGGCATCTTGAATCTCATTCTTTTGGTCACTACCCAAAGCTCGTGACCATACGTGAGATTTGGAGCGTAGGTCCAGTAGGTAAATTGAGAGCTTTGCTGTCTATCTCAGCTCTCTCTTCAGCACCACAGACCGGTACAACACCTGCATCACTGCAGACGCAGCACCAATCCGCCTATCGATCTCGCGCTCCATCTTTCTCTCACTCGTGAACCAAACCCAATGGTGCTTAAACTCCTCTACTTGAGGCAGCACGTCATCCCTGACCTGGAGATGGCCTTCTACCTGCTTCCGATTCAAGATCATGATCTCAGATCTGTTGAATCCTTTCTGCACAAAAATAAGGCATTCTTCTTTCTGAGACCAAAATTGCTGATTATTTATTTACATACATTACTGCAACATATTACCAAACCGCACCACAAACCTCTGACGTCTGCATCACATTTTATTACTATGTCAGAGAGAGATTAATGATCATAACAGATGATTTCATGAGGCTGTTGGAAGTTCCCTGCTAAGCTGCTGATCCATAGGTCATGAACTGCATTAACTTCTTCAGTTGTTTACCCTCAGTGCCTCGAGATCCGAAAATGCAGGGTGAGGAACCCAGCACTGTCCTTTTGCTTGATAACAGACAGATCCTTTTAAGTTTGAAGCTGATGATTTGGACTCTATCTCTTGCCTCCCTGCTCACCTTCACCCTCCAAACCAGAACCTCATGTGGGTCCATAATCCTGCAATTATATTCATCATCCCAACAGTCAAAGGCAGACCTGCTCCTCAATTTCCTGCCTGAACACTAGGGAGCAAATCAAAGTGGGCTGACATTCAGTTTTTATTCATGTTCTACATCTCTGTGCCCCTTCATATCCTGTTTGACTTTCCACCGCTGGTCTGGGACATGATGATGTTGAGGGGGTCATGAAGAAGAATTCTGTCTATAAATACAACACACTATAAGGGACGTGCAGATGCATCCTACTTCTTCCCCTTTTTATATTTGACACTTCACTGTTGGGCTAAAACCTGGGATAGACTGCACTGGGACCATGTGTAGGAAGGGTGTGCATGCATGCAACAAAATGTGCTGTATGTCCTTTTCTGTTTAACAACTGTGGAAATACATCTAGATCTAGAATATCATGAAAAAAAACAATATTTACTGTCATTCATTTCAGAGTCAAACTCGTATATTATATAGATTCATCACAGAGAATTAAATATTTAAAGCCAGTCTGGTAATTTTGATAATTATACAGATAATGAAAACCTAAAATTTTATAGTTAGGGAAATGTCAAACAGTGAAAAATCGTGCTGTCACACCCTAGTCATCTATCTTCAAACACCTACAGAGGATTTCTGACCTTCTCAGTCTGGGTCAGTGGGCTACACAATCATGGGAAAAACTGCAGACATGACAGATGTCCAGAAGACAGTCAAGGACACTTTCTAAAGGAAATGAAGTCACACAAGGTCAACGCTGAAGAAGCTCGTTGATGATAGAGTGCTCTATTTAAACATGTTCATAGAACATCTAAGAGGATTGTCAAGATGAATCCATTACTCCTGAACCAGTAAAGAATTAGAGGAGTTTCTCCTGGGCTAAGGCGAAAATAAACTAAATGTTTGCTCTAAAATCTTCTTTTCAGATAAAAGTAAAGCAAGTAAAGTCTGCAGGTCATTTGGGAATCAAGGTCTGGGTGAAGATGATCAGAATCTTTGTTGTTTGAAGTCCAGGGTGATGTTTCTGCAGTCAATGATGATTTTGGTACCATGTCATCTGTTAGTCTGCAGTCAACTCAGCTGTCTATTTCAGAGCTCGTCATGCTTCCTGCTAACAAACTTTATGGAGATGTTGATTTCATTTTCCCGCAGGACTTGAAACCTGCCCAGACGGACAAAACCAAAAGCTGATTTATTGGTACTCTTGTAATTGATTGGCCAACAAACCGGCCTGACATGAACTATAGAGACTATAATTGTGAAGAAGAACGGAGAGGCCAACCAAGCATTGAGAGTATAGAAATTCACACACTTCTCAGATGCTTTAATCATGTGATGATGGTGAAACTGACCTCCATCTTAAAAGGCCCCTCCCACCCACTGCATTCCACTGTGGAGACCATGGACAGCTCCTTCAGCGACAGACTGAGACATCCCAGGTGTAAAACAGAACACTCGTGCTCCAGGTCATTTATCCCCTTTCCAGTAAGAGTGTTTAACTGGTACTGGCATTATTCTGGTACACGATAACATCAGTGCAATACTCAGTATGTGTTCAATACTTGTGCAATACTGGATATAGTATGTCTGTGTCCCTTATGCTTTATGTTTCTTGGAAAGTCAATTTTCTTTTTTATTTATTTGTTGTTCTAATTGTTGAAGGTTACACCAATAACCTACTGCCTTTGTTTATTTACCTGTACTTTTGTTATTATTATTATTATTATTATTATTATTATTCCTTTTCTCTAAGTGTACGTGCTGCTGTAACAAGTACATTTCTCCAGATTAATACATTCTATTCTATTCTATTTGCAGATTCTGTGCAAGTTCTGCTCAAAACAACATAAATGTGACTTCCTGTTTGGTCCTAAATGCCCTATAGGTCAACAATTGTAAATTGAGTGTATTCCATATTTAGCAGGAAGTTAACTCTTTGCACATTTAGCTACTTGTGACAAAGCTGAGGTAATTAAGTTTTTTGAAAAATGTTCTTCTTTAATTTTCTGAGCAGTACAAGCCCTCTTTGACTCAACAGCAACATATAAACAGGCAGACATCCCATACCCCACCCCGTCATCACAGTTAGAACAGGATCTGAGAGTTGCATTGTGTTGGCAACATACTCCAATCAATTCCACAGTGATACTTTGTGGGAGGTTTTCCTCAAATGCAAGTCATTTTCTTTTATCTGATGGGAAAACTGAACTCCATCGCTCTGGCTCGAGTCCAGACAGACACAGAAAAGTACAAACAAGATTTATCTCTGCCAGATTCACCTGGAGCCAGATAGAAGTTGCACAGAGTGAAAACGCCCAAACAGATGAGAGACGGTGGAAGTGGAAAAAAGAGAGAGAGAGAAGGGAAAAAAAGATGGAAAAGATCAATACAGGCTGACCATCACTCCAGTCTCAGCTTGGGGTAATGGGCACCCATATTGCATTAGTGCGCGAGATGGTTCTCCTTGAAGTGGTGAAGCGAGAATCCTACTAATGCATCTGACATTTTGCCGCAACAGAACCGGGCAGCTACACAGGGATGTCTCAGGGCATTTCGGATCAACTTGCACAGACGCTGCAGCAACATCCACCAAACAATACTGTTGTTGTTCTTGGTATCTTTAATCACAGAACACAGAATTGTCCAGAATGGTGCATATTCAGTTCACTCCATTCCAGCGAGTTTTAACGGAGAGCCAGTGCTGCTGAATGAGTGCTGCAACTGTGCCGTCATGCTATTATGTAATTAATGTGTTTATTAAAGATAAATCCTTGGGTACAGGAAGCTTTTCTTCACAGGATATAATTCTCATTTGTATATGAATACACAATAATGCAGAGACTGGAGCTCAGCAGCAAGAGAGCGAGTGCAACGCAACAATGCCTATAATTCCTTACCTCTTGTGGAGCTGTTTGGGAATCATAATTATATCACGGTGTTTACTGTTCTTTGCATAAGAAAGAAAAAAAAAACATTTGTAGAAATGTGTCTGAGAAAAGCAGCTAGAAGAAATGGTGTTTATTTCAGACTTCAGATGAATTGAGACTTCTAAATCAAGCCTTCAATCAGGACTGTTCCTAATTCACCCCTACGCAAAATACTTCATCTCCTTCCCTTTCCACCCCCTCCCTCTTTCCCCCTCCATTGATGCAAATTACACAGCCACAAACAGCGTCTTAAAGTTTTAGTGAGTGATCACACTGGACATGAATGCACACCGATTAAATATTCATGCATGTTAGATTTCTGATCGGTGCCTGTGGGATATCATTAGCTTTCCTTATTCTGGAGGTTTCTGCACATTAGTCTATTAGATAAATAGATGGTGCTCACTCCCAGTAAATTTACAGGAATTAGATTGGGATCCACAGAGGTGGAGGTGGGAAGCACAGAAACACTGTTGTTTAATCAGGCTGCATTTAGTAATGAGGCACCTTTTGGCTTTATTTTGCAGAAAAACTGATGCAGCAAACTGTAGGAGGTCTCTGCAGACTCCAGAGAAAGGCCGCGTGAACCACGTGTGATTTTATAAAGCAAGCTGACCCGCTGTCCTGTACACAAGCAGAGTTTATTCTGCCGATAGCGCTAACTGCTGATTGTGAGTGCATACCAACAGCATCACCTGCATGGAAGAAAACCGATGAGTCAATCGTGCGCACACTTTTCAGACCCGTTTGAGGCAAAACCACGGGTGAGTGTCTGAATACAAATCTTTTTAATCTAAACCCTCCTATCAAAAAATTGTTTGATTGAAATCAGATTCCTTTCTTTGATCTAATACAGAATCCAACAAGCTCTGGTCACAAGATGTTTATTTATTTAAGTGTTTACCTACGTTTCCACTTTATTTGCTCAATGAGGCATTTAGATATTAGTTAATAAAAAAATAGAACTTGCAACTTGTAACTGATCTTTATTACGGATCTTTAAGTCAGAGAATCTCACTGCAATAAAGAACAGAAGTTCAAAAGTGATAAATGTAAGGCAAAGCCACATACTCTCTATCAAATTAAAGATAATATTTTAAATATTAAGTTCTAATCTGTATGTACGTGTAGAAAAAACATGTTTTGGCTTTAAAAGAAAAACCTGCCACATAAGTGAAACAAATCCTCACTGATGTGATAGTGGATTTTCTCTGCCAGCTGTTTCTCTGTCTACATTTCCACTCACACCCCACAACTCACTGGAGAGCTAAAGCAGTTGCCAAGCAGATTAATTATTCATCCACCCCAAACAGATTTTACAACAAATAGAAAATTCAAACGTATCTTCTTCTGAGAGAGTGCAAATGCATTTTGTAATTTAAAGACCTTTTGAAATTGGAGTTTAATGTTCTGTTTCTTTCCATCTCTGATCACTTTTACCTGCTTCCTTGGAGAGCTGTGTGAAGGCCTCCACTCCCTTCTCCCCGTAGCTGCCTTCTGAGGCGATGGTGGAGACGTAGGTCCAGTCCAGGGCTCGGATGATGTCCACCATGGCCTGGGCCTGGAACGAGTCTGGGGGAACCACCCGTGAGAAGAAGTCGTAGCGCCTGTCGTCGCTCAGCTCTGGGGCTGTGGACGCGTAACTGATCTGAGGGATCTGGAGGAGAAGAGTTGCAGAAAGAGTGGAGAAAGTTTACTCATAGGTTGTTGGCATTCTGGTGCAGCATGGCAGGAGTTGCTATGGCGACTGATCTGACAAATCGCATTTTGGAACGATTGTGTTTAAAAATGCTTCCTATTTCTTGTGCAGTGCACTCCATTCAGTGTCTGCCGGTTTATTAAAGTGTTCTCAGATTATTATTCTGACTTTGATATTTGTGCACCGTGAAACGTCGGCTCGGGGCTCTGAGAAATCCCCACAGCGGGATGAAAAAGCATTCCTCTGCCACCAGCTCCACAATGCAATGCAAAGTGCCACATATTATAGATAGTGTTTGCCAGGGTCAGCTAAAGACTTAAGAAGCAGTTTAGTGCAAGACACTTTCTTGCCAAGAGTTAGATAAAAACACTGATTCACTCTGAGTGCTGAATGTAAAGCCTCGTCTTGAGTAATAAAGCAGAAACATGAGAAACAAGTTGTCTGTCTGTGTCTAAAGGTGATAAAACGTTAATCCTCCAAAGAGAAAAATATTGTCATTTGACATTTCTGGCAACACCCTGCCGATATGCGTGTTAGCAGGTCTTAGCAGCAGATAAACATGCAGGATATGAGGCTGGCAGGAGAAGCACTAGGATTGGTTTGGCTAGAAGAAGCTCTCATTAGACAATGCACACATCGGGCTATGAACGTTTAATGTAACACAGAAACAGGAAAAAAACAAGTCTGAAAACTTTTAAACAGTACTTTGCATGCTGCATGAGAGAATATGAGCACAAACATTATTCAGTCTTTTCAGAAACAAACCTGCACATTTAAAGGCACACTTGGCAGTTTGGCTTGCTTTTAAGGTCTCCCCAGCCTTCATTAGTGTCTACAGTGGTGATTCATCAATAAATGAAACAAATCAGCTGTGTTCATGATCTAAAACATGCAGGAAACGCGCTGGAAACAGCAGTATGTCAGCTCAATTGTAGTAGCTCAAGTGTAACAGGTGCTGGACCAGCACTCTGAAGTTGCAAATGTGGTATTTTGTCCGGAGAGGGCGGTGGAGGTCTGTATAACATTTCATTTACCCTGGAAAGTGTCATTTTAGCACATGCTGGCTCAAGAAAATGATTTAAAACTATGAAAATGTTGCACAGTATCCTTTTAAAAGATACAAATGTCAATAGCTAATCATTTGAGTATAATGTAATATTTCACATAGAATAATACTGCCTGTGTTTGGTCTGTTGCAGTACTGTCACTTTAAAATGTTGCTTATCACAGAAAATGTCTTTACAGCACTTTTTATCAGCTAGCGGCAGCAATTTTAAGTCCCCCCCACCAATGAGACCTTATTCTGTCTCAATCTTCCCGTAATATACTGGAGCAGGCTGGAAAATTCACTATATTCCACCTGTGAAGCAGACTGTCCTCAGACACTTACGGGACAGAGACATGCAGATTTAACACCCATAACCTGTTTGCAAACATGACATGTTTCCCAACACATTTTTCATTTATATGATAATTTGTCTCCTCCAGTGTCCTTTATTTGTGAGTTTTGAATCATATCTCAAGGTCTCCTCAGTCGTCTCTCACAGCTCGGGTATCTTTCTGTGACAAATTGCATCAAATCAAATCTAATCAGTTAAATTTACATTTGAACTTTGTAGTTCTGGATATTTGTAATTAAGTCTTCTGCTTTCTGCTGAAAAACAGTAACAGAGTGCTTAAACTTACAGGTGCTGGCCAGTAAATTAGAATATCATCAAAAGGTTGAAAATATTTCAGTAATTCCATTCAAAACGTGAAACTTGTACATTATATTCATGCAATGCACACAGACCAATGTATTTCCAATGTTCATTACATTTAAATTTGATATTCATAAGTGACAACTAATGAAAACTCCAAATTTGGTATCTCAAAAAATTAGAATATTCTGAAAAGGCTGAATATAGAAGACACCTGCTGCCACTTTAATCAGCTGATTTACTCAAAACACCTGCAAAGGCCTTTAAAAGGTCCCTCAGTCTTGTTTTGAAGGCACCACAATCATGGGGAAGACTTCTGACTTAACAGCTGTCCAAAAGACAATCATTGACACCTTGCACAAGGAGGGCAAGACACAAAAGGTGATTGCTAAAGAAGCTGGCTGTTCGCAGAGCTCTGTGTCCAAGCACATTAACAGACAGGCGAAGGGACGGAAAAAATGTGGTAGAAAAAAGTGTACAAGCTCTAGGGATAACCGCACCCTGCAGAGAATTGTGACGATAAACCCATTCAAAAATGTGGGGGAGATCCACAAAGAGTGGACTGCAGCTGGAGTCAGCGCTTCAAGAACCACCACGAGGAGACTCATGAAAGACATGGGATTCAGGTGTCGCATTCCGTGTGTCAAGCCACTCTTGAACAAGAAACAGCGCAAGAAGCGTCTCGCCTGGGCCAAGGACAAAAAGGACTGGACTGATGCTGAGTGGTCCAAAGTTATGTTTTCTGATGAAAGCAAGTTCTGCATTTCCTTTGGAAATCAAGGACCCAGAGTCTGGAGGAAGAGCGGAGAAGCACAGAATCCACGTTGCATGAGGTCCAGTGTAAAGTTTCCACCGTCAGTGATGGTGTGGGGTGCCATGTCATCTGCCGGTGTTGGCCCACTCTGTTTCCTGAGGTCCAGGGTCAATGCAGCCGTCTACCAGGAAGTTTTAGAGCACTTCATGCTTCCTGCTGCTGACCAACTTTATGGGGATGCAGACTTCACCTTTCAACAGGACTTGGCACCTGCACACAGTGCCAAAACCACCAGCACCTGGTTCAAGGACCATGGTATCCCTGTCCTTGATTGGCCAGCAAACTCGCCTGACCTTAACCCCATAGAAAATCTATGGGGTATTGTGAAGCGGAGGATGCAATACGCTAGACCCAACAATGCAGAGGAGCTGAAGACGACTATCAGAGCAACCTGGGCTCTCATAACACCTGAGCAGTGCCACAGACTGATCGAGTCCATGCCACGCCGCATTACTGCAGTTATTGAGGCAAAAGGAGCCCCGACTAAGTATTGAGTGCTATACATGCACATTCTTTTCATGTTCATTCTTTTCAGTTGGCCAACATTAGAGAAACAAACATTTTTTCATTGGCCTTTAGAATATTCTAATTTTCTGAGATACCAGATTTGATGTTTTCATTGGTTGTCACCTATAAATATCAAATTTAAATGTAATGAACATTGGAAATACATTGGTCTGTGTGCATTGCATGAATATAATGTACAAGTTTCACGTTTTGAATGGAATTACTGAAATATTTTCAACCTTTTGATGATATTCTAATTTACTGGCCAGCACCTGTACTGTTTTCAAAGTGAAGAATGAACTTTCAGGACTCGTAGTTACGAAAATAAACTGCATGAGTTAACAAATGCTGGTGAACTATGATCCCTAAAGCGAGCAGCAAAATCACTCCTCATCCCATCAAACGCACTGTTGCAGTGAAGTTTAATGGAAGTGGACACAAATAAATGAGTGTCACAGGGACATAAAATGGCTCCCTTTGGTCAAGCTCCACAAAAATGCACGCTCGTCAGTTTGGTTAATGTCTAAAAACCAGTTAATAGCCTGCAGGTGCTTCTGTTACCACCAAACCTCTATTTGGATTGACAGACGTGAACATGTGGGCTGTCGTGGGCAGGATGACTTTAGATAACTTTGATCTGAAATGGTCATCAATTTTAAAACTCTGTTATTTTGGTCATAATTACATTGAAAATCTATTTAAAAAACTGATTCAAACTGCTAATTACTGTTAGAATGAACCTTCCTGTCTTCTTTATTTGTCCAAAAAGTCAGTTTGTATTGAAAAAAAAGTGCTAAGAAAAACAAATACTGTGGCTTTTAAGTTCAGTAAGAGCTCATCTTGAGGAGTAGAACGATAGAAATTCTTTAACTGCAAACTGTGCATTCCTCTAATTAGAGTAGAAACCAGAGCCTGGACTGTAGGGCAGCATTGGCCATCATAGGTATAGGAACAGAATCAGTCATGCGTAGCTAAGGGTGGTCAGGTATAAAGAGAGGGTTGACATAAGATCAATATGATTGAAAAAGGGAATGCTTGGCTTTCTGTATCCTTTCCAACTACAGAACTTAATTGAACAGCGGAGCAACATGTCTGGGTTTGTAGCGCCTGTGCAATTCTTCCATCTCATCCCATTTCACCCACTTTGACTGTCATTAAAGGTGCTCCCACGTTTTTTGCAAACAAACTGTTAAATAAGACTAAAAAAATCATCTAATTAATAAAGCTTTCCAGTAGGGATGGACAATATATCGGCATCAATATCGGTATCAGCCGATGTTAATCATTTTGTAACATCGTTATCGGTTTGTTAAATAAAATTGGGCCGATATTCACAACCAATATTTTTTCCATCTCGTCTCCATTTGTTTGATTGTTTCAGAGGGCGAGGGGGGCTATACATAATAGTTTTGTCATGTGAACAGTGAAGGAAATTATCTCAGAACTGTAAATATGTGTGGTGTGTGTACATAATAACGTAAATTCAGCTTTAATAATTTTCATTCTATACAAAATCTTCTGATTTTAAGAAGCATTAATGTCAGCATATCGATTTAGGCAATAATCGGTTATCGGCCATGACAGTGATCTTAATATCGGATATCGGTATCGGCCCCAAAATTTCATATTGGTGCATCACTAGTTTCCAGGTAAATCATGATAGTGGCAATCTACGAAAACTGAAGAATGAAGTTTTCCATTTATAAAAGCAGTCAGTAGTTTGATGGCTTGTATGTAGATTTAATGCATCCTGAGAAATGTTTAACTTTATTAAGCAGTTTTATTTTACTAATTTGTAGCATGTTGAAGTAAGAATACACCAATGAAATGACGATGGGTTAACCAGTAGCAGCGGAGGCTTTTACCTTAGTCAAATGGTACAGTAAAATCTAAAATGTGACAAATTAAAACCTAAAGCCTCAAATCTCTCTTTTCTTGGTCTCCTTCTGTTTAGAGAGGCAAGCAAAAATGTATCTTCATAGGTTTTTCATCTCTAATGTTCAAAATACAGCATGACAGTTTTACAGTGAAGGGCCCAGTCCCAATACTTCTACCCTTGCGCTCCTCAGTTCCTGTGCAGGGGTGCGAGTGCGTTGCATGTCCTGATTCTCAAGTGCAGAAGTTGACCACGCCCACATTGTACCCTTGATTTGCACTTTGCTGAAGTCTGCATCAATGTGGACTTCTGCAAAGGATGTTACCCACAATCCATTAGCCTGGCCGGCCATGCCAATGCTTTCTTATGGGAGTTCAAATTTAAATGACCCCACCCCCTGAGAATTCTAACTGAGCCAATCAGCGCTGAGCAGCGCACGTCACACACCGCGACGCTCAGCTTCTCATAAACAACAAAGATGGCATCTGAAGCAGAGTTTGCTGTGGCTCTTTTCTCTGTTCTAACACACACAAGAAGAAAAAGTGATGAAAGCCTTCTAAAGAAAGATGTTTGCACCGTCGTCAGACGCCATCTTTGACTACAACTAAAAAACTACAGCGTTGCACGATACAGCCATCATTTCCACCTTTTCACTGATTGGTTAGTTTCTCATAAACAACAAAGATGGCATCTGAAGCAGAGTTCGCTGTGGCTCTTTCCTCTCTTCTAAAAGGACATGGACATGTCTTTAAAACCACAACAAGAAGAAGTGATGAAAGCCTTTCTTCTAAAGAAAGATGTTTGCACCATCGTCAGATGTCATCTTTGACTACAGCGTTGCACGATACAGTTATCATTTCCACCTTTTTACTGATTGGTTATTTTTAAGCTGGCTAGTCCCGCCCCTCATGGTGCTTTCTGCCTCTGTGTAGAATAGACAGGAGGGCGAGTCTGGCAGGCCAGGCTACTTCCATTGCTGCGTGTGAATTTTGAGAAGAAGGCGGAGCAATGGCTCAAGTGCCCTTTCTGAAGAAAATGTATTTTCAAGTGTAATTATCAAAACATTAACCCTCTCAGGCTCAAAATAAGTTTTGATGAAAGGACGAACAACTATGTCCTTCACGGTTACTTCTGAGTTAAAAAATGCTCACAAAATTGTCACAGTCTGGGTAGCTCTCCTGTTTGTTTTCCCTGAGTTTCCCTGCAGGTGGGTGTGGCTGAGATTCCCCAGCTGTTTGGCATCGTCATCATGGCACCAGAGTATTTAAGGAGCAGCGTGACACTTCTCCACACTGGTTGATTACTCAGTTTGGGTAGATCTGTTTGCCAGTCCTGCTCTTAAGACAAGTGATCTGCTTATTGGTATTTTAACCAACACATTCTCACTCCCAGCACATCAAAAACAACAGCTTGGTCAGCCACCCTCCGCATCAGACCCCTGATGCCAAAAGTGCCCTTTTTCGTCACTTATGTGCGAAAAGGGGTTTTTCCCTTTTCTGACTGCAGATCCCAATGCAGCGTAAAACTGACGCGATGGGATGTCCACAGCCAGGGCACCAAACAAGCTCATTGCACCTCACCCTAACCTTATCCTCTTTTATTTAACCTTTCCCTCACTCCTATCCTAACCTTAACCATCTTGCTAGCGAACACATTAGTGATGTGTCGGTCACTCTAAAAGCTGGCTCTGTGAAAGGAACGGAGGGAGCCGCCTCGTCATTGGTCGAGTTTGGACC